CAAAATTTGGTTTGAGACACCAGGTGTTTACAACAACAGGACATCAATTTTATTCGACCAAACGTAATGAACACTCGCTACTAACTCCTATGTTAATGAAAAGACGTGCATTTGCCTTGAAGAGAGTTGGCCGTTTATTTTGGGACACTACCTTATCTCAGAAACTATAGGGGATGGAGTCAAAAATTAATTGGGGTATTACAAACCTTTAATTTATTTAATTTTAATGTATATAGTGGTGTTTCATTTTTGTTGGGCGAGTCTCAACTTTCTTATTTTAAATTCATTCTTGAATTCTATACAAAATTTTTGATATATTTTGTGTATAACCATTTTTGACATTTTTAATTTTTTATACGAAAAATGACGTTTGCGAGACTTAAAATGTCTGCCAATTTCTTCATTCGGAAGCATTTATTGATACATATTAATACAGAGTAAGCTAAAAATAAGCTTAAAAATGAAATAAAAAAAGCCAAAAAACTTTTTTTTAAATGTCTACTACCCATTTTTATAATCTTGTCATATTTACCAATAAAAATGAAGGCAATTTTATATAAGGTTGATTATGCCCAATGTTTTTACGTTTTGAAATATTTCCATATAAATTTAGTTAGTAAGGTGACTATGATGGCGTTTGATGAAAACAAGTGCTGCCACGATGATTTGCCATTTCATAGTTGACCAAAATCTTGCCGATGCGGTTATGGAGAATGAAAGATTATGTATGCATTATTTATACAGAATAAGACCAAGGATAAACGATAACGTTGGTGATTTTTTATGTTAATGAACGATCAATAAATAATTAATTGCTTAGAAAGGATAATAATTATTGTAACAGTTGTTCAATATGTCCTGCCCTTTGAGCAATACAGCTTCAGACCCATTTAAATAAGTTCCTCGGCAATTGACGGATTGCGTTTATAAACTAAATCTTTAAGTGTACCCCATAGAAAAAATCTAGGTTAGTTAAGTCATTGCTCCTTGGAGGCCAGATTCTCCCCAATCCATTCTCTATAGTGCTATAGTGTGCATTTAAATAGGTGCCAATTTCTTGACTTCTGCGATATGGAGCTCCATCCTGCTAGCCAAATTAAATTTCGTCGTCCCCTTTCAGGCACTTCATTTGCAACGAAAAGATGGATAATATTTAAAAGCTCTCAGTAGCGTTTGGAATTTACATTCTGATAAAAAATACTGGACCTCTGAACGTCCCAATATTATGACAGAAGTTCCCCCTGAACTTGTAATTTCAATATGTTTTTTATTATTCTTGTTTTTCCAGTAATTGTATTAGGCATATACAATTTTATATAAAATTACCTTAACTTTTGATGCTAAATATGACAAGATTATAAAAATAGGTAGTTTCCATTTAAAAAAAAGTTTTTTGCTATTTTTTTTAATTTCCGTTATTCAAGTCCTTGGCCTACAAGAAAACTTACTCAATCAATTACGAACCTGAAACAATAAATGCTTCCGAATGAAGAAATTGCCAGATATTTTACGTCTTGCAAACGTCATTTTCAACATAAAAAATTAAAAATGTTAAAAACGGTTGGACTTGAGTATATGACTAGATTTTTGTGTAGAATTAAAAAATGAAGTAATATACCAGGTTTTCCTTTTAAAATAAGGAAGTTGATACTTGCCCACGAAAGATGAAACACTCTAAAATAAATTGAAGGCTGCTAAGACCCCCAATAACTTTTGGATCCATTCCCTATAGTTTCTGAGATAAGGTAGTCTCCCAAGATATACGGCTCACCCCATACGTAGGCAGTAATTGTCCTTATTCTACTCTCTATTGCAAAATAGCTAATTACGAGTATACACCGATATAGCATACGGAAAGCGTCACTTTATCACGCGACTTTCTTGTCACACGGATCCGAGTCCCCTCGGACATTTCCGGGATATTACCGTACGGATTTGGTAGCAATCGGATGATTTCGGAGATTTTACCCCACGTTTGTTAATTCTGATGATCATCTCCGTGAATGTATTAGTGTTGTTTTGCAAAAATGTACCTAAAAACCAACCTTCGTAAAAGGAGTAAACTATGCAACACGTTTGGTAAACTTTTTTAAGTCACACGTTTATTAAAAAAAAAATAAACTCGTCACTCAAATGCCGTTTACCACACTTTTTGCATAATATACCATAATGTTCACAACAATTTTCAATATTTCCTTGTCATAAAAACTTAAGATTGGCCTCTTAAAATTGTTATAATAATTTTTCGGTTGAAGTTTTAATTGACTTGACTTTTCCATGAATGTTTATATGAATTATTCAAGCCGTTTTCTACCGAGATCCACACTAGTGTATAACCAACGACGCCTGCATAATCTAACACGATTATTAAATGTTTTGAATATGAAATATACCTGATTACCAGAGCCCCGGTTAATGATCTGCGACGTCTTCGCTTAATTTATATACGAAATCCAATTTGATGCCAGGATTTCGGGAAAATCTAACCGAAATTAAACGTCTCTGGACTTGACCGAGTAAATGATGCAATTTATACAGTAGAATCGCCTCCAGCCCACCCCAAAGTCTCGGGGCTGAACCTAAGATTTAGTGGCTGAGATTTGCACTAATTTATCTACGGTTGCACGCGGGTCCTGTTTTAAGATCAATAACGTCCGCATTAAAGGATAAATTTTGTTTAGGCCCGCCAACGAAATATGAATTTAGCCGATATTTCCATGTGTGAGCACAGCCAACTTTACCGGTGCGTGTAAACTTGGTCACTAGTGATTGGTTTTCGTTTGATTGTTACTGGTCCTGCGTCGAATCAAATAAAACAAAACGTGGGACTAAGGTGAAAGTAGGTACAAAAATAGTTCAAAAGTCAATTTTGGGAGATTAGTAATTAGTCCATCACTGTGAACTAAATGATTTATTGTGGCTCTATAGCTATAGAGCTTTATTAAGCTCCAAAACTCCATAGATTTGATTACGGCTATCTGGGTAGCTTGTTGCTTCTGGTTTCGTTACGCCCAGCAGATAAAGACGAATTCTCGATAGACCTTCGCATTGGTATAACACGTGTGTTGCTCATAATACATGGCCAACAGAAAGCTTTCTTTTAAACAAAAGTTTCAGATATATGGAAGTACCAAACCAAAGACTATTCAAGCCTAGTGTTACCTATATAACAAAAATTTTTGAAATATACATACCACTCGCGGATACACACTGCATAAACTGAAATTGGATTCCTTGTATCTGTCACAGAAGAAAAAGGCGGGAATGAACGGAAGTAGGATATAATAAAAGCATCTGAATTTTATCGCATCTTATTATTGAGATCCAAGTGGTACTTTTGTACATTTGCTTAAATGCTATAATGTGTCGAAGAAGGACGAAAAGGACCTTTTGAATATTTCTCTTTGGTGTAGCGGCACTCTGAATCTGTAGTTTTGTCTTAGATTTAATGTATGTACCTCCGAGCTAAACTTTTGCCAGTAAGTGAATATGGTAGATGCGTGTCGTTCAGTTTTATTCAGTAGTCTAGGAGTCACTACCGAAGAGCAACAGTGACGATTTAGTTGGATCAAGCTACAACAGATGATCAGAGGCAGTTTTATAAAATGTACATACGTCTGCGTTAATCAGAATTTCGGCTTCTTTAGTTTACAAGCAGCAAATGAATAATAGATCTGACTGTCATTCGTATCAAGTGATGACTGCAATGCTCCAACAACTAAAATTAAAAGGGAGCCAAAATGCTATATCCTATAGTACCCGCAGTCGAACAAAGAGCGGTTTAGAATATTTATTACTATAGAATACCCTCTGAGCTCGATCAGAGCTTAATAATGTGAGCGATTTTTCCAAATCCAATATAGTGCAGAATTGAGATAGGTAATTTATGATTTATCTTATCGAATCTTTTACTGAAGTCCAAAAGTATCAATGCACTGACCTTATTATCATCAGTTGCTCGTAGCATATCCTCAGTAACATCAGTCAGAGCAGTTTCGCAGCTATGGCCTTTCAAAAGTCACACTGGCTTTTCTCTACAATATTGTATTCCGTCGGAAATCCTCTCATTTGTATGTCTAAGTATCCTTTCGAACACTTTGGAAAGAGTAGGAAAAACTGTACGCTTTTCATTTTTGAAAGAGGTGTAACTTTTGCCTTTTTTCCGGATGTGGGAAAATAAGACTCCAAAATGCACGGATTTATCACATGCATTATGATCGGAATAATGACAGAACAAAACAGCTGTATTAATGTAATATTTAATGCGTCACTGCTCATTGCTTTAGATTTTTAATTATATCAAAAACTTCATCTTGGCTAGTTAGCACAAAGTTTATTTGTTCGTCGACGATTATTATCATAAAATTATTATTTATTATCATAAAGATTTGTTAATTCCTGGTCAGGTACTTTGTTATTCTGGATCAATTAAATAAGTTTTATATAAATCATCAGGATCTAAAAGATTACTTCGAAGAAGATTGTTCTTCCTAGATTTAGCTATTGAGTTTTTTTAATTCCAACCTAGTATCCTTAATGTTGGAATTTGAATATTCATACTGACCAGGAGAATTTGAGAATTTAAAGGTTTGTCAATTTTCGGAGCAATTTAATATTTTCAGTTATCCATAAGGGATGAAGCGCTTAATGTTTATCGGACAGACTGAAAATGTAATTGTTTAAAAAGGTTATTTTATCTTCAATGTTCGAAATGTGAAATTCCTCTTCGTCTTCTCAGAATTTTCTATTAGTATTTTCTTCCGATTTTTTATTTATAATATAAAATAGTTGTTTTTTAATTTTTGTCAGGTATTAATGGTTTTTGACAACTTTGTAAACTGAAACAAAGTTATGTTTCTGTGCTGAAAATTACACAGTGCCTCCGTTTTAAGTAATACCATTTCTGTTTCCGTTGACAGGCCTGCCATGAAAGCTTGGTAGTTTCATTACTCGCTTTTCTGAAATGAACTTTAACTAATACCAGAATGTTTTCTTCTCAGGTAACATTGGTTCCATGATTTCGAACATGAACGTGGCACGAGTGGACTTCCAGAACCGAATGGACGGCGTGAAACAGTACATGGCGTTTAGAAAAGTGGGCAGGGAGCTGGAAGCCCGCGTCATAAGGTGGTTCGCGTACACGTGGGCCGAGAGTGGAGCTCTCGACGAGGAGAGAGTCTTGTCGGCTCTTCCCGACAAGCTCAAAGCCGAAATAGCGATCCGGGTGCACTTGGACACCTTGAGGAAAGTGCGGATATTTCAGGACTGCGAGCCCGGACTCTTGGAAGCTTTGGTGCTGAAATTGAGGTTGCAGGTTTGTAGCTTATTGTCGGTGGAAGAAGGAATTCCTTACTTAATGTTTATAAAACTTTCTGAACCGATTGTATTATTGAGATCATTGGATTGTAAGTCCCCTAGTATCTCAGTTGTCCGAAAAACTGTATCCGTAGACTCCAGTGAGATTCTTAAGTTATTAGAATATCGCATAACATTTGATGCTTGGAAAGAAACAACCCATGCATTAATTAGAAATTACAAAAATCCCAAAATTGGCTGTAGGTCATGTAAAACAATGATATAAAATAAAGTAACACTAATTACAAATCTTTTGGATTTCTCCTGCGTCGATTGTGGATGAATCGAGCAAGTTTTATACTACACTTCATTGCTCATATTTGTATAAAAAAAATTATCAATTGTTTTAAAGAAACTATAGCGCACAAGTAAATATAGCATAGCGTAAAGTAGTATAAAGTATAAAGTAAACATACTATATCATAGTAGACACAACTCAACTGAAAAAGGAATAATAATGGAAATTTAAAATAAAAATCTCTCTATAAAACGCCGTTGTATTCGCAACTCCATCTCTCATTGCGTGTAACTATACTGTATAAGGAAATATGCATATTCATACCAGAAAAACACACTATAGATTCTTTGAAATAACTGAGGACTTTCGAAAACAAAAATAAGCAATCAAAGATAGTATAAAGAAGGAAGAACGAGTACAACAGCACCCTATCTAGAGAGTTAAATTTCCATTATTACTCTTTTCTCAGTTTATTTATAAATATAAATATTAAGAAATTGTATCATATCCAAAAAGTAAGTACATATTTATCTTTCCAACTGAACATTTTCTAAATATAAATGTTGTATTTAAGATTCTAATCTTAATCACAGTACTGAAAAAACAAAACTTTGAATTAAAATTTTACAAGACAATCACAATATTTTTCGTATTATGGAAGATACGACAAATTTTTAAAATCAATTTTTCAACTTTGCTTCGTAGATCACAAACAGGCATTGGAACGGTTCTATTTGACCACCAATCGCAGCGCTGCGTTTAAATATTCGCTTCTATTGTCTTATCTAATGCGAATAGAATCAGGAGACACAGAAGACGCCCAGATGCCGGTCGAAATTCAATATTTTCGAGTGCTGCCTGCACCGACTGTCAAATTTATTCGGGGGATTTGGCGCGTTAAGCTAATTTGAATGGGAAATTGTGAAAAGATTGATAGTTATGGAAAAGAGTTTTTTTACGGGCCTCCGTCTTACACAAAAGTCGCGTAACGGCTTGATGGATTAATCGGAGATTCGGATCTCTTAATCGGCTTAAGTGTTAACCGCTCGCCCAGAAGCTCGATAAAAGAAAATCCTCAAAATAAAATTTCTCACACAAAAAAGCTTAATGATTAACAATATTTTGTTGTTTCTTTTTATATAGTTTTATTTAATAAGAGCATTTATCCATGTGCATGAAAAAACAATTAATTATTTTTTGGAAATTGCTTTCTAGTAACTCAGCTACGTTCCTTACATCATCTGCGAGACCTTAATCTAATATGCTATGTACCACAAAATGTTATTGGATTTCTCGGGAACTATTAATTTTGGTCACACCCTTATAGCCATTAGTTAAAGCAGGGGTCGTAAAATTGATGTTCCTCAGGCTGCAATGCTGCTTGCCCCTGAAGTTCTCACACTAACCTGCATAAACAATGGCCCCCACAAACTTAACTCATTGTTTTTCTGAAAATTTCATGGATCTAGGCAAATTTGGACAAAATACTGCTGAAAAGATGCTACTGGTCATTATTTTCATGTTACTCTCAAAGGCATACGTGAGAAACAGGATGTCCCGAAATTAGACGTCAATATTTGAAGCACTTATTCTCCGACATAAAATAGCAATCGCAGTTCTTATAAAATGGAGTCTTCAACCTCTTCATTTCTTAAATATGTGGTATTAAAAATGAAATCCTGACTATTTTTTGTAAGTATTTTCCAAGCCCCAATATTTAAATAACATTTTTAACGCTTTTTAATAAAATACGGAGGTATGATTTCGGGACACGCTGCATGTCTATTACCTCTATAATATGTAGAAATGAATGACAAATCCAACCCTAGTAACGAAAAAAATTATGTCAAAGAGACGTAATGTCGATAGGAGCTCCTCGGGGTTCCGCCATGGGACCGTAGACGACGAAAATATGATAAACAGCTTCTAGAAAAAAAATAATTGCAAATCTTGATAAACTGATTTATTCGTTCTGAAAAACTTATTTGTACTTAAACACAAACTATATCCGGTTCCATAACCTCTAAAAAAGAATTGAACGCTCTCTTAATCTAAAAATTGCTGAAGGGGAACCCCTTCTGGTGAATAGCACAAAGTTCCTCGGAATTACAGTCAAGAAGTAAATCACGGCATTTAAGACACACGTTAACAACAAAACAACTTATTAATATATATCATGCAAATAACATATGCCTTGAGGTACGGTACAGCAGAAGGTGCTCTCAAAAGTGAAAAGAAGGAACTCAAGACAGAATGAGTCACTTTAAGAGCAGACCTGTTGACAACGAACACTTATTTATAACAAATTGAGAAATACTTGCAAGAGCCTTGGAGCTCCCTTTATTCATCTAGACTGTGGAGAGAAGTGGCCTGACTTAATAGGAATAAAAATCTTTAATGTGAAATAAAGTACCAAGTAACGCTTAAAAAAATTAAGCGACATATTTTCAGGTGTTTTCCCCCGGGGACTATATTTGTCGAAAAGGAGACGTAGGGAAAGAGATGTATATAGTGAAAAGGGGACGTCTTCAAGTCGTAGCCGACGATGGTACCACCGTGCTGGCGACATTGGGCGCTGGGTCCGTTTTTGGCGAGGTAAGTACATTGTCCTTTTAAATTATTTCCTTTTACACTACGTCAATTTTGCATGCATAAAGCACTCTTTGTAAAAAAATGCTTTAGAGTGCTTTGATATCATCAAAATTACAAAGCCTCCGAACCTTTTTTCGGTGAAGTCACGTAGTCAACCCCAAAGTGGCTTTTAACGGAGGGATTAAAAAAAACGAAAATTTCAACCAGTAAAACAATAAACTTTATTTCCAATGAAACTTTCGTGAAATAATTTGGGGTGGGAAGTTAATGAAGCGCGCTGCCTGGAATTTCAATTTCAATTAAATGGAAACGTCGCGGCTGCTACGTCTCGCGAGTGAAAGTCTTTGTTAATGTCACCTTGAGTCCTCGAAACCTTGCCATGGCGGAATAATCTGACTTGCGATGTACTGGATAATTAAAATTCTTCGTTTACTCGACTTCTTAGTTAGAATTAATAGTGGTGACCGTTGAGTAGCTTAATTAGATTAATAGAACAGCAGTAACCACTCTTCAGTCAGTTATTTTCAAAAGAACATATCAGCCAACAATCCCTGTCGTTAATCTTACAAATGAGCTTCTTGCCTATCTTCGCAATGGACCTCTTTAGGTCCACGTTCTGATGGTGCTCCGTGAAATGAGTAATCGTTCTCAGGAGATGCCATTTTACACGGTAAAGAATTAGGGACCTTTTTTAATTTTAGATTTCCTTGGTTAGTTTTGCATTTTCAGTGTTTCTATTAAACTGGTTGACTAGGGCTAAATGCTAAGAACGCTTTTTATAAGCTGTATATAGGATAATCCAGCATTTCTTCCACGTTTAAGCTTCTGTCATTTCTGTGATTAAGGTAAAGATGGTCAACCCTTAATTTTAGAGATACCTTCTAAGTGTATCAAGCTAGCGTCCCAGTGTCTGTCTTTAAAACTTTTCATTGCAATTACTTTTTTTAATTTGAGAAGTTAGTTTGAAAAAATCAGTAACAGGATTGCGAATCTCAGATAAAACTTCAATTTTGGATTCACTATGTCACCTAGTCGCATTAGTATTCGGTTATTGGGTCTAACGCTCAACGTAAGGAAACCAAAGCAATAGCAAATTGCGGAAACGCTCCAGTCAATCGATATTCGGTTTATTTACCAGAGTGTCAATGTCGCTTTGTCTATTTTCCCAGGTCAGCGTCTTGGATATCGCGGGCAACAGGACGGGAAACAGACGGACTGCCAATGTTCGCTCGCTGGGTTATTCGGACCTGTTTTGTTTGGCTAAAGACGATCTACTGGTCGCGCTAGCCGACTATCCAGAGGTAAGGCCGTCATTAATATGGAATCAACTCAAACTACAAACTTAAAATTTTAGTCTTGTGGGGTGAACAGAATATTAAAGAATAACCTTAGATTGATTAATAAATATGTGTAAGTGCCTCCCTAAAAAAAAAGTTTGAAATATGTCCCAAAAATTCATGGTTCAAGATACGTAAATGAAAGAGGTTGGAACCCGTGCTGTCATCTGTCAATGAGTGGCTAAACATAGGTGTCTAGTCAGTTAGAGATCGACAATTTTATTTGTGCTACCATCTATAGATTAGTGGCGAAATTAAATCCGATTCTTTAGATAACGGCGAATGGCGGACGCACAATTTAGGCTTTCCTTCTACTTACCTTTCATTGGGGAGTCACATAAGTCATAGTGGCAAAATTTATGCTATATAATATCCAATAGTTTTAATTTACGGTTGTTTCTAAAAAAAATTTAACTATAGTTCGTTCTCGGATAATAATTACTTTAAATAATTTGTTCATTCAACAATCCCTTTTTATTGGTAATCGTTTGTGTTTAATAAACGCATTTTTTGTCAAAAAAATGGAAATCTCTCCATAAATATTTTTGCATGTCATTGAGTAATTTGTTCTTGGAGTTCTTCGTGTAGTTAGTAATTCAGTCCCGTATATTCATGCCACAAAAAATGAACAATCATAATAATGTTAATGCTTGTATACAATTTTATTGATCTAACTCTTATCGTATTGCAGATAAAGAAAAACAAGAAATCGTACTCCCAAATTTTTCACATATGTTTAGAAGCGCTTTGTTTAAGTTGGTTAATGGTGTTTCTACATTATCAGTATGGCCATTTCAAAATCTATCAAAATACGCTCCAAATATGTTATACTATTCAAATAGTTGACCACGTTTAATATGTTCCTTTCTATTCATCGAGAAACACGTAAAAGTTATCTTTTTGACATTAATATATCAAGAAACCGAATCAAATTTTTCGCAATTTACTTATACCGAAATTGAAATGGGTATAGTCTGTCTCAATCTTCTTCGTGTTTGCTTTCGACGGTCCCTCCCCAATAAAACGTTAACGATGTTATTACCTATTGTTATTGTGTAAAGCCGTTGAAAAAAAATTAATTCTTATTTGAGTGACAAGGCATTGGTGGGCTAGATATATTTCTTTCTTTCTGATATATTTCTTGTGTATTGAATATGACAATGTCGCGTCGAAATCATTTGTGTTGTGAAAAATGTGTCAGAAACAGGACTTATTAATTAAGAAGCCTTAAAAGAAACTTTTCTACTTACAAAAACGCCAATATCGTCGAAGAAAAGGAATAACCGTAGTGATTTTCTAACTCACCGTACAGACAATAGTGATCAGGACGTAATCAGAAGGAAAATATATTGTCTTTATCAAAGCGAAGTTGTCATTTGTCGCTTGATGCAAAACAAGTTGTGAAAAATGTCTACGAAACTTTAATCAGTAGAGAAGAGAAGTAGAGAAGAAACGTATCTCCTTACAAAAGCGCCAATATCATCGATAAAGGATATTATTAATAGTGGAGTAATGAAGAATAGGAATAAACGTAGTGATTGTCAAACTCACGGTATAGACAATAGTGATCATAGTTATCCAAGCGAAGTTGTTCCTACCTTGGATAAACTGAAACAGAAGCTAGAAGAAGATGAAAGCAATATAACCATAGAGTGGTTTGTAAAATGGGATTTAAGTACCGCAAAATAGACAAAAGGCATGTAGGAATGGAATCACACAGATTACGCGCTTGGAGATTGAAGAAATTAAAAGATATAGACTAGACAACAGATTCAAAATTTACCTTGTTGAAACATGGTTCGATACACACGACACTGTGTATGAAGGATGAGTTGATTCCACTCAATACAGTCAGACCAAAGCACCTCCAAATAAAGGAAAACGCATAACCATAAAACATGCTGTGTTAGGAGATAGATTTGCTCCAAATTGCTTACTGGAAAGTATATTAAGGATTCTAGCTTGGATTATCCTGAGGATACAAGTGCCGAGATTTTTGTTTACAGAGCCCTAAAACTATCTCATCCCGAGTCACTGAACCTGGAATTAAAACACCGTACCTCTGCTCTTCTCTCTAATAATTTCCACATTAAAGATATTAATCGTTCGATCAAAAAATACACTTCATCACAACCTTCCAATAGCAATGAGGCCGAAAGCAATCCTACACTTGCCACTATAGTCCTTCCTTGCATTCAAAATATCGCTAGCCATATTTAAAAGTTCTAAAGAAGTATAACTACAAAATCAGATTTACTACTTGTCCAAAAATCTCTTAACATCTTCGTTCCGTCAAAAAGAAAATTCCATTTGAGATGCCAGGAGTTTACAGCATTCCATGCATATGCGGCAAAGAATATATTGGAGACATCCGACGAAAAATATCAACTAGGCTCAAAGAACACCAAAGAGCCTTACGACTAAGACCAATAAACACATCAGCTGTTGCCGAACACAATCACGAAACCGGACCTAAAATTTTATTGGATAAAACCAAAATTCTTGCATGAAATCAATTCTTCTTCTTCTTCTTCTTGTGGTGCCTATCCGTTACGAATTTTCGCGATCATCATGGCAATGCGTACTTTGTCAACTGCTGCACGAAAAAGGCCTACTGTTGTTGTATTGAACCATGTACGCAAGTTCTTCAACCACGATATCCTTCGTCTATCAGGCCTCCCCCTGCCTTCCACCTTGTCCTACAGAATCAGCTGCAACAAGTCATACCGCTCGCTGTTCCTCATTATGTGTCCCAGATATTCAAGCTTGCGTATTTTTATTAAGCAGCTCCTTGGTTATATGCTCGATCCATGGGATTCTTAAAATGCGTTTATATTACCACATCTCAAATGGCTCGATTCTTGTACAGGCAGCCTCAGTTAAAGTCCAGGATTCCACCCCGTAGAGTAGCACTGGAAAGACATAACACCTCAATAGTCTGATCTTAGTTGGCAGTGATAGATCATGGCATTTAAATAGTTTTGCTATTTTCAGAAATGCGGCTCTGGCCTTCTCTATTCTGCATTTGATCTCCAGAGAGTGATCCCACGTTTCACTTATCTTGGTTCCGAGATAAACACAAGTCTGAACTCGTTCTATATACTGGTTATTTATAGGGAGTTGGCCAACATGGTTGTTGGTTTTTGACACAACCATATATTTTGTTTTCTTAAAGTTCATATAAAGCCCGTATCCTTCACTGACCTCGACCACGCGAACCATCATCTCTTGGAGACTCTCTAGGCTAATAGCAAACACTACCGTGTCATCTGCGTATCGTATGTTGTTTATATACGCGCCGTTGATCTTAATCCCACTGTTCGTATTCTTCCAGAGCCTCCTGAAAAATTCATTCCAAGTATACGTTAAAAAGACGACAGCACACAGCCCTGACTCAATTCTTCTACCAACGACAAATCCGAAAGTCTATAGAAATCGATAAATAACCTAACAATCTTAACCGTGACTCAGGTCTCTACCTGTCACCAATATGGGAATCAGTCATGTATATAAGCAGTCAATATATAAACAGGTACAGAGTAAAATGCGAGCCAGTTTCAGTCAAGCTCATCCAACAGGATGATTGGCGCAATTTCAGCAAGTTCGACTCAGCAAAAACCGACGCAGGAGGATTCCAGAAGTTTTATAAAAATATTACAGCAGCCTGTGGAAGTTTCTTTAAAAAAAAATCCTTTTATATTTAACCTGAATGACGTCTCTGATATAGAATAAAAATGTAATTATTTATAGATAATCCTAGCTATGAATTCGTTGTATTTATTTAATGTCATTGTTTTATCTTAGTGTATTTTAATAACATTATACCCAACTAAATAATCAAAAAAACATATTTATTACCAAAACCTTCGACATTCCGTCCCTATCACCTACCGGACCCGAGTTTCATTGCCGTCGGCAGGTAAGTTCCTTAATTGCTGGCAAAAGCCAGCTTGATGAAGGTTGAGACAGACTATACCATTATAGTAGGGTGGAATATGGTATTCAACCCTACTTTAATCGCAAAATACAGATTACAAATCAACTTGCTGGAATCTGTTGGTTAGATATGAATCAAAGAGTTCACAACACGCAGAGAATTAATCAAATTGACAAATTAATTTTCAAGTACTACAACTACTTTATCCAATTTGATTTGGACCTATGCGACCACGCCATGATGCTGCTGCATAAGGTTAGCAAAGTTGCAAGTGTAATATCGCTGACCACCCTCTTCTGGGCCTGACGCGGAAACCCTGAAATGTTTGCAATTTCATTAAGATGCGCATCGAGTTTTGACCGCACAGTGTCCCTCCCGCTGGACCGAAGGTTGCACGTGCCAGTCCAGCGGCGTGCTCCTTTGAAAGTCCACAAACTACGCTATTAAGTCGTTACCTAGAGTTTCGTTGACAGGCCAGAGCGACGTTAATTGAACGCGGATGCCAACTACTGCGTAAGGACGGCCTGCTCGACGAGGACGTCTTCAAGAGGGCGAAGGAGACGCAAAATTCCATGGCCGACAGTATTAAGAAGTTGGAGAACACGGTGGAGATTTTGCAAAACAGGCTCGCGAGGCTCTTGGCCGAGTACACCGCCGGTCAGGCTAAGCTGAAGCAACGGCTGAGTAGAATGGAGAATAGGTGAGGCGTTCAAAACAATTCGTTTACACTAGACATTAAAATCTTGTAAGTTCTTGATAGCTGCGTAAAACTATGATATACCTAACCTATACCTAATATGCATGGAAAAATTTTATTAATAACTTGAAATATTTTGGTTAGTTTTGGATACTATTTTTTTTTAAACTTAAAATTAACAAGCAGGTACTTTTTCTTATTTTGAGCTGTCACTGACTAAAATTATTTAACTACAGAAAACACGAATTTTCCATATTTTCACTATTGAAGATTTACTAAGATACAATTGAGACAGATTGAACAGTTCAACTCCTTACTAAAGGGTTCCCTTTCCTTTCCTTAATGAAACTGAATGGTTGCACCACTGTGCCGTTCAGAAGGCAATCTTAGTAACTAAGCACAACTAAATCCAATTTTAAGTTAAAAAGTAATAAATACCGACGCCTAAAAGCACAAATAAAATTATGTTTCAAAAATATCTTGGCTTTAGTGTCGGAAAATGATTAAGAAGATAACAAATTAAACAAAACAAGTATTGAAGAAGCCCAAAAATATTAAACAAAAGCAAATAGAAATATTTAATATTGTTAGAATTTTTTGGAAAATCATATCGATCGAATGAAGTTTTTAAATTAATCAAAATCAGTTGAAACATGATTTATATAAAAAAATACATTTGTCAGAGTCGTACAGGTTGAGTAGAAAAGATATTAATGACAGATTCTTTATTCGTGAAAATATTGAGACTTTTCGCATATTTTATAACTCCCGTAGTTTTGCACATATATTGTTGATATCTTATTGTCTTATTATCTTATTATCTTATTGTGTATATTGTCCGATTAGATTACACTTTTTATGGAAAAACAAATTTTCTTGATATACGCATATTTAATTTGAATCATTTTTATTTTTTACAATATTAAGTTTACTTTTATTAAAATCTAGATTATTTAATCGAAATATCTAGCATAATCAGAACATCGATAATGTTGCATTTTTCACCCATAAAAATTCATTCATTAAAATAGAAGGTGGACACACAAATTTATTTTGTGGCTTGGAACGACTAGGTTTGTACTTTTTTTAATTGTTAGAAATTAATAATGTTTTTTCATTTTTATGGCGAAATTTATTGCAAAAAATTTGGAAATCAGAGGTTTATTGAGCGATAGAAGCTTCGCCCCCATCTTCTAACGACTAATTTCTGCAAATTTTCTTAGTATCGACGATAGATAGAATGAGTATTGTTTTAAAGCTGAGATCAGTTTCAATCTTTCTTGTTGCTTATTCTTTGCTCAGTCTCTGAAAGGAAGTGGTGGGAAATGTTCGAACATTTTCGGGAATAAATGTCGATAGCTTCAAAAAAATTTAAAGCATTTTAATAAACTTGCTATGAGTGAGCCGGCCGCCATTATTTACCTTACCACCAGCTAAGTTGAGACAGCAACTACATAACAAATAAAACAAAAACCTCTTAGATTGAATAACAAAACCAGAGAGAAGTAGACTTCTGGGTGTCTGTTTAGATTCTCATTTAACCTGGACTAATCAAATAGACCATATCGACGACTATTTCGTGATATGGGAATGCTAACCCTTTCTGGTCTTTTTATTAATAATTGCGTGTTAATTGTTAAATCTAATCCTAGTAGCTATGAGAGACTTCTACGTCCTAATTTACATCAACGATTAAGGAGTATAAATTGTCTATAGTTGCCAGTAGTCCGGTTGTTTTGCCGATAAAACTTTTTAATCATTTGCCTATTTCACTGAAACATGGTGAGTTTAAATACGAGGTAAAAACCAATTTTCTAGAGTAAAGAATTTTTGGACTATAATAACATATTTATTTTATTATTTAATATTTGTAATATATTGTTTATATTTTTGACATTATTCGATATCTGAAATCAGGTCTATAGAAATAAATTTGATTTGATTTGACTGAAAACAATAATTTTCTTTAAAAAATGCAATGGTATGCATTTTTTGCGTTATTACATAGTTAGATAGTTACAAATAAGAGCCCAACAATCTAGTGAAAACCGCATGTCATCAAAAATATTAATAAAAGAACGTAAAGTTGAAAAAAAATGAATTTTGGGAATCAATTATCTACAGTTTACCAAATGAATTTTATTACTTTGGATGCCAAAGGTCATTTAAAATTACTGTTTTTACTATAACTTCAAAACGCACAAAATTTCACAGCAACGTACCCATTTTCAAAATTATTTTATTATTTTCTCACGTTTTTATAATCTTTAAGGGTTTAAAACAGTAAAACTATGGTTAGTATAACAAAATTTTTACGGAACCCCAGTTATAAAAATTACGGTGGCTACCTTAAAATAGTTTTCACTATTTGGTATTGGTTGATTTAATTTAACCTATCCTAACCTAAGTCTGATTTTTCAGGATCCGAACGTTTAAAAAACACGTGAAAGCGAGACAGCCAAGATGATTTCGTTAAATCGAAATAAGCATTTTATAATTCCTGTTCCGCTTTTCAAACAACGCGTACGTATAAAAGTTTTCTTTCCCGGCATCCCCAGCGGCTCGATAAAGTCCGCCGGGAAAACGAGGTAAATGGGTTTGACGCTTCATCGTCTATGCAAATGAATGCGCGATTTTTCTGGGTTTACGGAAAACGCGAGAGCCGTGTTATTTATTCGTTTTTCCGCCGTTTCAGGAGCGAAAAAGACGGCGAAAACATATCGGAGAATCTGGCGGTGCCGACGACACCGAGAAGGCGACTGAAGTCTTTGGAAACGAGAAGAGAAACCGTCGGGTCCAGTGCCAGACACAGAACAATATGAAACTACGACCAATATATTACATTTTCGATTTTATTTTCGAAAACGATCCCTTGTTACGGTGGCAAACCCAGAAGGAGAGGCTTCGCGAATTTAAGTCTTTTAGTAACCAAGAACCACTGACTAAACAAATAATTAACAACTCTACGTTCGCTTGTATTTACCCTCTTTTAATAAAAAAAAAGCAAAGTCGGAGAGTCAATAAAAGTCCCAAAAGTAGTCCATCTCTCAAAGTGGAATTGCAAAATCAAAAACCCTCTTACTGGAACGCCCGATACAATGTTTAACACGCACAATCAATCATTTCGAAACAAAGCAACTATAGAGCTTATTCTATTAGACTCTGATTAAACTCCAGCTTCGACAGCGTCACTTTGATATCGTCCCTTTCTCGTCTGTCGAATGTTATTTCCCTTCCATGGGGTCCTGGCGCGGTAATCTCTTCTTGAAACACTGTTGCACTTGTTTCCCATTAGATTGATGTGTTCTTGTGAAAATTTTAGAGCTTTGATGAGAAAAGAACCTAGGCTATGAAGAAGTTTACAATAGATCCTCTGGTGACTGGCAGTACAATATTCTCCCGCCTTGAATCTGATATTGTCTTGTTTGCTCACGAAAATCGTGCTCTTTAACAATTTAAAATTCAACTCAACTTCGAGAAGAGGAATGATCCAATTGGTAAAAATGACAAAGGGGTAAAAGTATTCAGTAACCTTTATTTTCCTTTATGCTGGCAATTCAGGAGGAAGTCAAGGTTGTTTTTTTCTTTTAATAAAAACTTTAATTTAAAAAAAAATCCTATAACATCACGGTCACAATGGGCATGAAAACTGTAATCTTTTACGTGAAGCGACCTGTATGTTTGTGTTAATGCTGAAAGATAACAAAATTTGCTCAAGGATGATGATTTGTCTTTTCGTTTTCGAAGCAATCAACAAATGAAATTTTAATGAATTTGTTTATCGGAATTATATGAAGAACGTGCAAAAAAATCAAATCCCATTGGCAAGAACTGAAAAAATTCAAACTTCAATAATATTCGGATTAATTACGGTCACACAATAAAATTAAAAAGAACCTATGAACCGTTAATATTTTATTTAGTTTTGGTCAGTTTTGGTTAGGTTTGGGTGGTTTACGCAATGTTTTGCCTTACTTATTAAATTAGAGGTTTAGTGGTGTCATATTTTGGAAAAAAAAAGAAAAATAATTAATATTTCAATAGCCAGTCTATATAAGTATTAAAACTAATCAAGAAGTAGGCAGTGAATCTAGAAATATAATAATATGGGGTGTGCATTCTAAGATTACAATTGGCAATGTTGCATCGTTCAGAACCTAAGTATCGGATTTTTAAAAAATCAAAACATTAAGATTTGCACTCTCTTTGAGAATGGACTGTCTCTTTCGGCATCATTAACCTATACCTATATGAACCTCTGGGTGCACTACTGAAACTGCCAACGAGTAGGAACGATGGATTTTACATTTTAATCATAGCTCTAGGTTAACAAAGTTACTAGAGGAGCGAACGGTTAATGTTAAGCAGTTATTGAGTGAAATTTCCTTCGTACGAGTAAAAATTTTATGAAAATTTGACTGCACTAACGAAAAAGGTATTGCTGATACAGGTCTAATTTAACATGACCGAGGGTATGCTAAAACTAGGTGAAATTAAAGTTGTATAACAGGAAAACCGAAACTCAAAGCGAACTTGGTGAACGATCTCTAATTCAAAATGGGACGTTTATATAGGTGTCATCATACAAATAGGAAAGTGCATTCAAGTTTTCAATGAAATCCACGTCAATTTTCAAAGTCAAAATTACATTTCGCAGTCAAAATATATTATTAACATCATCAACCATCAATCTATTACCAAGGTTGGATATTTTTGTATAGTGGCACTAAACATAGGTAATTAGATGACCAAGCAACTTTGTGTCTAAAGCTCGAGTTATAGCAACTCTTCACAAAATTGCCGATAATTTTATTTCGGATATCCGTATAGATAGTGTTTCAATCAGCTGATGCAAAATTTCCGACCTGGTTCTAATTTAACTGGTCTTAAACTGACATTCAGGTGATCAAGATGTAGAAAAATCAATAGAAGGAAGATATATGCTATATTATTTTTTTATCATTTTCATCATTCCGGTCGTACTATTACATTTTAACAATGAGACCAAAAGTGTAAAAACTAAGTATAGTAGGACAACCTATATATCGAACTTATTATTATTCATGAGGACAGGAACGGACTCGTTACCGATCTACCAGTATTTACCTGTACTTAAATAGATATTAAAAAAAGCGAAAAATTTGATTTATCAGCGTTTTTGAAATCACGTGAAGACGTTCTGTAGATGATTTTAATGTATCAACCAATTGCTTTTTGGTATAGTTTTCCTCTGTGTCTTTTTCCATCATATAATTCTCAATAATCATTTTTGTGTCAGTAGTCATTGGTATCAAGATTTCTCGTGGTACATTTGGTAACAATTTGTATTGTACAGTCTTCAAATAGTTCTGATGTTGTGACCAAAGCGTTTAGCATAAATAATGTTTTCCTAGCAGTGTGAGTTATTGCTATGGTACTTTATTTATCAGAACTTTAGATGTACGTTGACCGGATGAGCCTAACCAACCTTAATTTGGAACATCGTGGGTGTCATACCCTGTTTCCTTCCTCTCTTGCCTATATCCTTGAATTGAAATTATATCAACTCATAATCCCTTGCCACTAAACAATTTTCTTCATTTTAAACCCGCTTATCAAAAGAAAATTTCGGAGAGTCTCACGACCACTGCTGATTCCTGTATCATTATGTCGGCATCACTTGCGTCAAGTTTTATGGAAGTAAATGAGACTTTTCTTTTTCTTCTCTCTGATAAGGGTTTATGTACCCACACTGTGCCCACTTGCCTCTTGTCAAAGCAGCCGCGTTTTTCATTGCTCCGAATTATGAAAATCCACGTTCAGAACAGTGTAGACGTCAAATATTATCAATTATTTCCTGACGGGATTGACATGGCCCGTAACTCCACTTGAAGAGACCAAACTTCTTTATAAGTAGCAGGTATATATATATATATATATATATATATATATATATATATATATATATATATATATATATATATATATATATATATATATATATATATATATATATATATATATATATATATATATATATATATATATATATATATATATATATATATATATATATATATATATATATATATATATACATATATATATATATATAATCTATTGGTTCCGGACCTGGAGATGCGGTAGCCGAATCTCACACCTTGAACATTAGCGACGGTCTGGTAAGCGATTCCCGCCTTTAATGAGCTCGGTATATCGGCGGTTATACTATACTTGCTTGATTTTAAAATTGATAATCTGTCGCAATTCGTTTTTAGTGCAACAAGAATTTAAACTGGAATAAGAAACCCACTCAAGACAATGAATTTCCAGAAAAGAAAGAGCAACTAACAAATATTGATTGTTTTTGACTATTATTTTTATCCCATTTTGACGTTAAAAAATGACACACTTTTACACACAATTATTGTCGAAATAGAAATTGGCTTTGAAATTTGACGACAGACAATAGCAGCGCCGTGAAATATTTCTCTGGGTGAAAATCAAATTACCAAAATAACCCGTTACAGTTTTATTGACAAAATTGTTTTAATTATTTCGTTCGTCGATTGGGGAATATATAGCGCTTAAGCATGGCACCAAATTTTTGTAAACGTTGAACAAAATGCAAACTATCTAAAGTATTTATTGATTTATATAAGACGGATGACTGACGAAGAGAGGTGTATATATGCGGTATACATGTGATTCTAGAAAAGTTATAAACATATCTATTTTCGTAAAATATTCACGTTATAGTATAGACAAATATTTTATACGTACTTGCTTCATCGAGGGTGTTTTATCTTTTTCATTTCCGAAATGTGACTATTTCGAAATATGTGGTACTTAAAATAAATGAATTCAAGGAAATATTTTGGCCAATACACTAGGTAAATAATTGTAGACTGTAAGTATATTATTGCAAAGCCTTATTAATTGTGATAGTAGGTTGTTTTTTAAATGTAATTGTTAACACTGATTAAGGGCCAGATATAACTTGAGGCTGCCGCCATAATCACCACAAATATACTCGAAATCAGGCAATGCAAAGACGAAAATAGGCAAAACATTTTGATAACTCACTGGCAATCGTTTCCATCAAAAAGTACTTAAGATTGATAGAATGCTCTACCATAAAGTTTTACGTTCGAAATCATATTTGACTAGCGTTTTCCTTAATTATATGGGCTTAAAAAATTTGTTTGCAAAGGCACTGGTTTCAAGTGATGCAAAGAGGTACAAAAAAACCATTACTAACCTTTAAATGATGTTTTTCTTGGGTGATCCTAAGATAATAAATTTATAAGAGCTGTCCAGAAACACAGAATGTTGTTATTGTTGTGTTAAAGTTTTCTGAATACGATTAAAAGCTGTTTTTAACGCACAACTTTGAAAAGTTTTTTTCGAGAGGAACAATATAATTACAACTATTCGAAAGGCCTCGGAATTTAGCGGCTCCTTTTTAAACCCCCGAAGCATAAATTTTACAACCATAATGGCGGCAGCACTTAAATATAATCATATTAAGTTTAAAAAGGCCAGAGGTGTAACGAGCAAAACTAGACTCATAAAAAATATTGTATTAAATAAGTGAGCTGAAATTAAAACAATTAAATATGTCTTGCAGTTTTATGTCCATTTTCGATTATGTAATAGGTAATAAGTGAATTACGATTAATGGTTATAAAATTCCGGTGTGACGTTTGATCCAGTTTACGAAAGACGACACTCTCGTGAGAACGCCCGGCGTAATGGTACAGGGCTTGTCCGACCATGAAACAATCCCATGTTGGTGTCCGTTCACCGTCAAAGCCCCGCCAGAATCGCCCTAAAAATTGTCATTAACACAGCAAACGTCAAACACATCAGATGAATTTCTTATCACTTTATTTTACATATGTTATTGTTATCTTAGATGCGAATGCAAAATTTCAAAAGTTACTCCAAATTTTGCGTATTAAAATATTTCCCAGTTGCTATGCAAACAACTAATTTTATTTACAATTGTATAACTTACTTTCTTTAAATATAATTTTTACAAAAAAAGAAAAGACAATTTATTGTCTATTAAAAGTTCTGCATGATCTAAAAGCAGATTTTATACGAGAGTACTTTTATTTTTGAATATATGGATAATGACTATTGAGAATCATAATTAGTACTACTGTCAGATATTCAATAGTATCTGGCATTTTTGTAAACTTCCATGTATTTGTATAGATAATTTACGTGTACCGACAAACTGAGGGCAAAAATGAAATAGCTAGTTGTCAAAAAAGAGAAAAAATCGCAGCTGTATTAACTTGTCAGGAGAAAATTGAAACAATATGTATTAGGTAACTTTTTAAGCTTTTCATAAAATATTATGCATTGGCCAATCAATTGCAAGAGAACATTGTTACAAACTTGGAGAAATAACATATCTGATGTATAATTTGCTAAATTTAATTATTGTTTTATACTTTTCTTAATAATTTAATTTAAAAAAAAATCATAAGCTACTATTTACAACTGGATTCTTCCTGCGTCGGTTGTTTATAAATCAAACTTGCTGACTTTCTGAGAACAAGGTCCTCGACACCTTCCATCTAAAACCAAAATTACGGAAACGCTACATTGATGATACTTTGTTATTTGGCCTCATGGTCAAGAATCCATCCGAGATTTTCTTAGCAATTTAAACTCTAGACGTAGTTTTTGCAATTGAATTAGAAAATCAGACCTATCAAAATTTCTTAAGAAAGTTCTTAAGAAATATAACGTCAATACCAGATGTACCACTTGTCCAAAAATCTCTCAACATCTTCGATCCCTAAAGACAAAATTCCTTTTGAGACACCAGCAGTATACAGCATTTCATGCATGTGCTTTAAAGAATACATTGCAGAGACAAGACTAAAAGAGCCTTAAGACTAAGACAAATAAACTCAAAACTAATCAAAACCGGACATAAAATTTTATTAGATAAAACTAAAATTCTTGCATGTCATCAATTCTTTTACCAACGAAAAATCGCAGAATCTATAGAAATCTATAAGCAACCAAAGAATCTTAACCGCGACTCCTTTCCTGTCCCTCGTTTAACTCCGCTCCCCACAAACTATATATAAGCTGGTACAGAGTAGAACGAGGGGCAGTTTCAGTTTATCTCTGAAGAAGTCAACAAGATGACTGGCGAAAGGTCACCAAGTTTGATTTACAAAGATTTCCAAACAGCATAAAGCACAAAAATGTCACATATTCCAACTTAATTCATATAATTCATTAATATAATATAATAATATTTTTAAATATTGCGATTTTGTTATGCAATATTTAATTAATTTATTGGTTATAGAGTTTCGTAATCAGAAAGTGATTTAACGTAATTTTAATTAAACATGTAGTAATTATTATCCACACTCACCGTCAAACAAGTCATGTCACTAAAAATTGAATCCAACTTCAAAATGAGGGTTGAACAGGTAGTTTGATTTTGATATTTTCTTAAAATTATATATTGATCCCTCGCTAATGATGTCATGTCAGAAAAATATATCCAGATTTCAATATTAGCTTATACGGGGTGCATCCATCGACTGGATTTACATTGGAACATGATCATTCCTGAACGTTTAGTTTTTTAAATGGCGACATTATCTCCGTTTCAAAGTGAAGGCTTCTTGTGAAACTAAAAAGAAGATTAAGATTATAACAGACCTCCACCGACAACCTCCATTATTTACAATTCCACTTCGGTAAGAATTCAAAAAACATTATGGGTGAAGTCAGTTTGACAAGAAAAGTTTAAACTAGATATTAGCCTTAACATTGATACGTTTGATGCTTATTTGAATCGCTTTGAAATAGTATATCTACAATAAAAACAGAGATAATGCCACGAGTGACAAAAAAACCTTCGGAAAAGATCATACTGCAAATATCGGGGAAAAATTTAGCAATTCATGAGAACTCCAATCGGGTTCAGTTTTTAGTAGCCGGTGAGTGTATGAGGTTGGAGAACTTTCGCCTAAAACTCTACATAGGAAGCTGTTGTGTCAAATTGTTACCGAACATTGTCCTTTACCGCCTCCGCCCGCGCAAATGTGGGACACCTGTGAATAATTGCTGCCGAAAAACATGCTGCAAATCTGATCCGGGTAGATATCGAGACTGACTTTCTGGAGCACTGGAGGTACGGTACCATTGGTTTCCTCGTAACCCCATCCGACCAGATAAGACGGTTGGAATACCGGCGGATGTTCGAAGAGTTTCGGAAGCAGTACAGGTTTGACTTCATTGGAAAATTCGAAAGGATCCTCGACCTTCAAATTTTTAAAGTCATCTCCCTAAGCTCAAACAGCTCAAAAAAAACTACATCAACAAAAATACAAAGAATGAAAAGGGTAAAACACGTTATCTACACAAAAAAAACAATTCCGCAACACACACAAAATGTTACATTTACACATCCATTATTGTGTTCTGATAAAATACCTGATGTTCCTCTAAAATGGATTCTTAACCCTTTTACCAGAATTGCAATTTTGTTGTATAAATATAAATTTAACCAATCACTCGTTCTGATCCTATGTTATAATCATAGTCCGTCCAATCATGAGCTCGTAGATAAAATCAACAGAAAACTCGAATAACCCTTTTTAAGTTTGAAGTTTACTAAATATGTTGCATGCTATACTTTCTCTACGATCATTGACTTTTAGATACATTTTTGCAAAACAGCTGAGCGGCATGAGCCAAACATCAGAATACTATCGTGGCTAAAATTTACTGACAACATCAGTTAGCTTCCGACTCCATGGCTAAAGTAAAGTTAAATAAGTGTTTAACAAAGATTATTGAAGAAGTATAAATAGATGAAGGAAAATTTCGAATTCGTTAAAATTAGTACCTCTATTAATCCGATGTCATTGAAATGTCCGGAATAGTTTTGGTACGCTTCGTGTATGATGGCTCGTTTTACTCTCTTGGTGTTTGATGTGGCTTCTTGACAGTTATCAGCCTCGATGGTGCCGTAGAGTATAGTTGACAGATTCATGTACCTGTATGCAAACAAAGAAAATGAGTTTTGCATTGTGGTGAGTTTTTTTTTCTGTTTCTGGGGCATGCAAGAAATGCAATAAGTATCCCTCGAGGTATCAATTAGTATTATGAAGGCTATATTCGTGTTAAGAATTAAAAAAAAAAACATAATTTGTCCTACAGGTATGTCCTTAAAATCTCTATACTGTATTTATAAACAATTTCAGTATTTTGAAAATGAAAAACCAAATTAGAGAAACCTAACAATAATTTAATCCACTTTCCAGAGTATTATGTCCCTAACCAAGCTCAAGAGATGAAACAGAATCGAGTATAAAAATAAAATAAGAATGTAAGAAGAATCCACGTATTAATAGATAGTATTGAACCATTTTGATTTTGAAATTTTGAAGTTGAAGTTTTAGTTATAACGTCAGCTACTAATCAGCTACCCATCACCATAATTGAGTGAAATAAAAGAAAATTACTGGTCCGTTGTCCAAAGGTCCATAAGCGAAAATGAAAAAAATAAGAACAAAAATACTTCTCATGACGATAAAATAAATGCGTTTTATTTATTTAATTAAGGTTTTTTTTGCAGCTTTTGATTTTATTATAGCAGATAATTAAAAAGGCTTCATAAATATACTTTAGCTTTTATAACGAGGTCTAATAATATATATATACATATATATATATATATATATATATATATATATATATATATATATATATATATATATATATATATATATATATATATATATATATATATATATATTGATTGGAGCTGTGATGGGATTTTTGAGGATCTGTGGGTGGAAATTAAGCTGCAAGCATCTGTGTCTGTTCTGCTGTGTTGTGTATATGCTCCTCCTGAATCTAGTGTTGAAAATCTCAATGCGCACCTAAATAAAATTTCTAGTATTGTGTAGATGTGTCCTGCAAAAAAATGTGTTATTTTGGGTGATTACAATGCTTCGAAAGTAAAGTGGATATTCGATAGTGGCGATAGTTGTTACGTACCCTCAGAGATATCTGGATTATATGGTGAGTCACTCATTGATTCTTTCAATTTAATTAATGTTGATCAATTCAATGGCATCCCTAATGATAATGCAGGATTTTTGGACTTGGTCTTTAGTAATTTTAAAAATGTTAGCGTGACGAGGTCTGTGGACCCTTTTGTAGTGGAAAGAGTTACTCAACATAAATGTATTGATATTTTGATTGATACAAACATACAGGAATCACTTAAAGGAAAGTCTAGTTGTGAGAAATTGAAATACAGGTATGCAAACTATGGCGTAATAAACGTAGAACTGTCACGTATTCCGTGGTTGGATCTTTTTAAAGACTTGATAGTTGAGGACTGTGTACATATTTTCTATGAAAGGGTTTACGGGGTGGTCACGGATAGTGTTTCGAAGAAAAAAGTAAATAATAAATTTCCTACTTGGTACATTCCAAGTACGAGAGCACCAAAGATGGAAAAAGTACAACAATCCTGTTGATTACGTCATATTCTCTAATCTGAGAAGGAAGGTCAGAGCTGCAATAAGCACAGACTACAAAAACTATGTTAAAAACACTGAGAGTAATCTGAAAGATAATGTGAAGTCATTATGGAGCTTTGTAAATAATAAAAAAAATCAAAAAACATACCAAAATCAGTAACGTATCAAAATCGTAGTTTTTATACTAATGCGGATATCTCTGCAACATTTTCTGATGTTTTTTCGAGTGTCTATGAACCTGATACAACTCCTTCGAGAATCCCGTTGTTAGAACTGCTAAGAAAGCTTGATATAAATAAAGGCCCTGGACCTGATAACCTACCCCCGATATTATTCAAATCATGTGCTGAATCTTTAGTGCAGCCACTTTTTATTATTTACAATAAAAGTTTATCTGAAGGGCAGTTTCCAACTATTTGGAAGAGTGCCAAAATAATACTGGTGCACAAGAGTGGCAGCAAGGTTGACGTCACAAACTACCGACCTATAATTCTTTCCGTTCCATGGAAAATGCTGGAAGCTATAATTACCAATGAGTTATTTTTCAAATTAAAACATGCTCTTGGAGATACACAACATGGTTTTTTTAGGGGTAGGTCGGTTGCTACCAATCTCTCACTATATGTCCAGGATGTTTCTGAGGCGTTAGATAATAGGGTGCAGATAGATGCCGTGTACACCGACTTCTCAAAAGCTTTTGATAAGGTTCACCACCCAACAATGTTGATCAAATTAAAAAATTTCGGTGTACACGGTTGTCTTTATAAAATTCTTCAATCCTACATCAGTCCTCGGACTCAGTTTGTAGAATTGAATTCTGCAAAATCCCAAACGACCCGCATCACATCTGGAATTCCTCAAGGGTTCCATTTGGGAACATTGTTATTTTCACTGTTTACCGCAGATGTCAGTAAATGTTTTCTTTTTGCTAAATCAGCATCATACGCAGATGATCAGAAATTATACGGGCCCGTGAAAAGCCTTAACGACTGTCATAAGTTTCAAGAAGATCTTGATCTTTTATGAATACTGTGTGAATAATCGTCTATTTTTAAATATTGATAAATGTTACTGTCTTAAGTTCAGCAGGCGGATAAATGATATAAACTTTGACTACACATTCAATGGTGTAAAAATAAAAAAAGTTAAACAGATTAGGGATCTTGGAATAACTATAGATGTAAAATTAAGTTTTGATATCCACATTGAGAATATAGTAAAAAAAGCTTATAAAAATTTAGGTTTAAGATTAAGAGTTAGCAAGGAATTTCAGGATCACAAATCGCTTATTATTCTGTACAATTCCTACGTTCGATCTCCTTGACTATGGCGGTGTGATATGGAGTCCTCAGTATCATAAATATATAGACAGAATCGAGAGAATACAAAAAAAGTTTGTTTTCCATTTAAATTTTAGATTTAACCGTAACTTACTAACTCATTCGTATGAAGCTAGTCTTAATTTCTACCATATACTGAAGTTATCTGTTAGAAGAATTATCTCCAGTGCTATATTTTTGCATAATATTATTAATAGTAGGATTGACTGTCCTTTACTGTTGGAGAAACTATCCTTCAATGCCAGAGTCGTTATAACAAGAACTCCTTCATTATTTTACGTGCCTAGCTTTAATACAAACTTAGGTAACAATTCCTCAATATCTCTTTTACATAGACATTACAATAATTATTTTTCGCACATCGACATCTTTGCGTTATCACTTAATTCGTTTCGAAATCAAGCAATTAGGGTTTTTCTATAAATTTATTTTAATTTTTGATTTGTTTTCCTTATTTTTTCACATTTGTTTTTTGTAATTCACGCACTTAATATACAGTGTTAGTTTTGGTTTAATTTGGTAAGTTTGATTGTTATTATTATTATTATTTTTTTTTTTTATCTTCTGCTTATCGTAGATATAGGTAGGTACCTACTTATAAGTTTTGCTTTGTTAATTAAATAATGGTATAATTGTTAGTGTGTCCTTGTAAATTGTGAAGTTAGTTCTTCATGTTAGGGCACCTTTGTAATAAATAAATAAATAAATAAATAAATATATATATATATATATATATATATATATATATATATATATATATATATATATATATATATATATATATATATATATATATATATATATATATATATATATATATATATATATATATATATATATATATATATATATATATATATATATATATATATATATATATATATATATATATATATATATATATATATATATATATATATATATATATATATATATATATATATATATATATATTCCGGGATATCATCCGTTCGTTTGTTGAACTCCGACTGGAATCGAAGTATTTTCGGAACACGAGCATTGAACATGCCAATTGAGATTTTGGCGAAACGTCTGCAGGGTTCCAGTGTTATCATCATAAGACTTATCGTTGTAAGAAAATTGAGTTTTTGAGTAATATTTATTAAGGCATCCCCATGGTCGTGTAAAAGTTGCTATCAACTTTAGAGTAAAAGCAAATTACAATGATAAGGACACGAAATAAAATATGATACAGAATACGCACAAGCGAAAAGAGCGCGTTTTTCTTTGGTGGTTACAAAAATGGTGTTCTTTGCCGTTATAATCTCTTGGTTACAAATGACGAGTAAAAATTTTATAGGGAACTAAAATTTGGTCACTGTTGAAATTATGAAATCCTCAATTTAAATGTCACAGGGATTTTTTAAGTGTAACATAACTATTTCTTAGGTGTTTTATGAAACAGGTGATCGAAACTTACTAGTGTAAAACAAAAAATGTTAGTTGAATATAAATTCTCAATTTTCTGACTTACTCCAAAAAAATGCAATGAGCTGCCGTTAATACCCATCTGTCACTTATAATCGACGCTCCGCATTCGTGACAGTTGTTGTACCGGATGGACACCTACCAATCAGATGTCAACAACATCAACTAACTACCACAAACTACTTACGGCATAGGGAAATTCTCCATCGCTAGCGTCGCTGCCTGCAACTATCCTCGTACTAGGCGGCGATGCTGAAAAACGCCGAAGTTACATTTCTAAATGTTAAACTTCGACGTAAAAAAGAAAACGTAATAAACTCACCGAAGATGCAACAGCAGAGAAACGGGATTAAAAAAGCTGCTAACTCAATTCGCATACTTTTTTGATGCGCAAACTGACTAGTTCATTACCCCGAAGTTAAACTGAATGCTTTTGAAAATTGGCATTTAATTCAATTGATTCTTCTCAATCTAATCGATGTAATCGACGCGGTTGAGTGTTTGGTGATTGCGTTTCAATTTAAAAAATGACGGAATGTGATAGACGAGGATCAGGCAACAGCGTTCCAGCACGTATTTGCGTAAAATTTTAAATTATCGAAATTGCCCTTTGGTGGATGCGCCGGACAATGCCGCAACCTAATAAATGCAGTTCTACTAAGTTAAGTCTGAGTCACGGAAAAGGCTAACAAACCCTTAGAGCCCGTAATTTTAATAGAAACGAAGAGAAAATAATAGAAATTATATTAAACCGAGAGAGATGTCATTGTGGTCATTTATAGAGTACATGGTTCTAATAATCAGTGGTAATTTTGCTTATAATTGGTGGTAGTATAATGGCAATCAGTTGCCATTAGTGAAATTATAGTGATAATATTAAGTAATTTAAAGAAATTTTAGTGCTTCAAAATACATCTGATTCTGAAGAAATATCTGAAACATTTATAAGTAATTTGACCAATAAAATTATGCATAATTCTATGCAGTTGTAAATTGTATTGAAAATCACCGTTAGGGTTGCACTTATTAAATATAAAGAAAAATTATAAAGTTCTATGAGAATCTTTAGAATGTGACTGTGACTATATTATATTATATTATTTATATATGTTTATATTTTGGACCAGGTTATTAAAACTGATAAGTGATAATGAAATGCAATAGTTTTGCCAAATATAATAATTTCTTTATGACGTTAATTTGTAGTCAAATTTAACCAATATGTTACTCAATTTATTAAGAAAACAATTTCTTAATTAATTGTACAATAAATTATTCAAATCGAAAGGGTATCTAAAATGTTTTCTTTACTTAGCTGTCGTTGTTTATTTAATAGAAGCTGAATCGCTGGAATAAGTGTAATTTTAAGTGTTATTTAATGGTAATTCATGAAGTAATTAGAGATGTTATTAGACTACGATTTAGTGTTCAACAAATCACTTATTCTAAGCACGACTTGTTCTATCTCAGTAGTTCTAGGTTAACTAGAATGCATTTTGTTTATTTACCTGATAGCAATTAAGCATTACCATAGGATGATAACACCGAGAGATATAAAAAGCAAATTTTCGCCATTGAATAGTCACCATCGACCACAGAAAACCATTCGAACTTCAAGTCGAAATGCAGAATTTTCGAATATTAGTACTTGCTTGCGTCATATCTCACAACGAAGTCTTCGGTGAGTAGAATTCCGAAAACAATTCGTCAAGAATCAAACTCAGGGTTTTGGGTTTAGGTTCATCGCGAATTGTCAACGGTACCAACGCTGAAGAAGGAGAATTTCCTTTTGCCGTAACTTAACTTTGGTAATTGGGTTGTCACCCAATCAATACGCAACGTGTTTCAGGTGTCGCTGAGGTACAAATCGAGTCACACCTGCGGTGGTACCATTCTAAACGAAAACTTTGTGTTGACGGCTGCCCATTGTGTTTGTACCAACCAAACGTAAGATGAACACTATTCATTACCATTCCATTAACGCCGGTGCTAACTTGTTGACCAAAAAAATAACAGCAAAAATTTAAGTTTTCCATTTTTTAACTACTTGGGCATCAAATCTTAGTAACGGTGTTTTTTAGCCCTAGAAATAGCAGCCTATATTCCATACAATATGGAATGGTGAACATCACCCGTGATCCCGTTAACACCTTAGATGTAAAACAGATCTTCTGCCACCAGTTCGATTCCGAAAAACTCATCTACGATTGCGCGGTTCTAGAGGTAAAGTTTTCATGCTTGTCATTCATGCCTGACAATGCTAGTATTCCTATAAGGCCAAAGCTAAATTGTTTTCCTCCATATTACCTCAAAGCTAGAATCCAGCTTGCCTAACGACAAGTCTTGGAGGTCTGTGGAACTCTCGCAAAAGTTTGTGGCTGAAAAATCAACCACCGGGGTTATCATAGGTTGGGGTAAAGTTGAGGTAATGGTGTTTTTTTAATCACGAAGTCAAATTTATGACGTATAGGCGTTTGTTAGCAAGAGGGTCCTCTGGCTCGCACGCTTCAAAAACTAGATGTCGACGTATATGATGAAACAACCTGCAGAAACACGAGCAGAGATAATACGCACCACATTTGCTTCGGATCTGCATTTGGAGGCGCGTGCAATGTAAGAACATGTGATGACAATATCAAAATAATAGAACCTTTAAAACATTAATATTTTGCAACATTTGTCATAATACCTTTGTTCGGAAACTTTATACAAACCCTATGTAAACCCTGGACATCACGGACCTCTCAAAGGATCATTAAACATTTTTCAAGTTTGAGGAGGCATATTAATACCACGCATTCAATTTTCCACTATTAAGTTTGCTTTCAGTTTCCAGAAGATCCTACACTAAATGATGATAGTTTCCTCGTAATTTCAATTTCGTAAAGTTTTGGTTAGTTCTGTTTTTGTTTCAGGTTTTTAACGTATATATCTTGTTTTAAACCATCGTATTTGAATTTCTTGAGAAAGATTATAAAATGTAATAGCTTGCAAGCGCCGTCTACCAAGCTAAGGTTCAAAATATTCCCACAAGGCGTGCCCAAAATAATATGTATTTTCTAAATCAATATATGTTCGTTTCCCCAGTATAGCTTGCGAAAAGGTTGTGGAATTCAAATTGTTAGTAATGGAGGGAAAATTTTGTTGTCAATTAGTTCCAAATAGACGTATTGGTTTGATTCCATTGCAGGGAGATTCAGGCACAGCCCTCTTAGTCGACGGAATGCAAGTTGGAATAGCATCATTCATTACGGATAAATGCGGAGTCGCGGACAAAGATCATCCTAACGTCTACTCGAAAGTGTCGAGCTATTATGAGTGGATAAGCAAGGTCTCTGCATAAATGATTTATTAACAGTTTCAGTAAGATTGTCTTTCGAATAAACAAATGAATAAGTATATAATCATAACCAACATTAAACGTATTTTATTAAATTTAAAAATACTTGCGACCAACAATAGTGAAAGTCAGCAACGGTTACCTACCAACACAATTGGATTTCAATTCATCCACTCAATATGAAATTTACTTCTCCACAATAAATTTTCCAGGAAATATTTTTTATCTTATCTTATCGCGACTAGCGGGTAATGAAACATGAGTCAATTGTGATAAAATAATTGGTCGGCCCCTAAACCAAAACGGCTAGAGCCGTACCACAAAACTAGTGCAATATCAGACCAGCGTAATATAAATGCTACATTCGTCGATCATTTTTGCTAAAGCTTTGGCAGATACTTTCAGTCTTTAGTTCCATCTTTCTTTCGCTTTCTCTACGCAACGTTTGCGATTGGCATGACGATTTTCGGCCAAAGACACTTAGGCCGGCCCTGTCGGTTTCACCGTTTACAGCGAATTTTATTCCCTGCAACACGGGCAACCAAATTATGATCCGGGGACAATACAGAAAACGATAACAATCTATGAACCGAAAAGACTGCGTTTTGTACGTTACTTGTTATCGTTTATTTTTTTTTAATTAGTAGTTACATTTCGTGTGGTGCGCGTATAAATCGTTAGGTGAGTATTTTGTTTTTATTTGTACCCTAATAGGCAAAGTTCATACTTTTACCAATTTAAATTTGTGTTATATAAAATTGACCGCTAATGCTATCAGTGCCAAAGAGTATAGGTAAAGTAAGCTTATTTTACATTAAGGGGTATTTATTCCATAGTATCACATAATATTTGAATTCCTTAATATTTTTTGTATGGCTTATCCGTAAGTTTCATATAAATTAAGCTTTGTCGTTTTAACAGGAGGTAGATAAAGGTACGTGCTGGAATTTACTAGACCAAAATTCCCAAACATTAAATTTAATTACTTTGTATATCAGATGTTTCGTGTGACGTATGCCGTTAACATAACTAACATTGTGAAATACCTGAGAATGTCCGAAAACATGTCGAAAGTATTCTGATTAAAACTAAAGGTAAAATGTTGCTGGTGCAATGTCTGGTCTTTGTTGAGTGAAAATATTTTCACTTTGTAGGATCGACATTATCAAATTTAAATGTAGGTATTATTTTTAACAATTTTTGAAATTTATTCCGTCAATCGATATTTTAGAGTGTTCTGTACAAAATGTAACCTGTAAATGTAAATGTAAATTTTAAGGAAACTTTAATAATAAAGAGATCTAAGTAATATGATCAATTCAATTTAATTCCAATATGATAGGTTGAACATTATTTTGTTAGATAAGATTTTTTAAATATCATAATAGTGTTTTAAAAAATGCCACTGGCAGTAATATATCACATGGACATAAATTTGCCACACTGAGCAATAGATTTTTGTGTTTGTAGAAATATGGCCAAAGACGCACCACCTCCATATTCTGAGACTGCTCCGCCACCAGGTCCCGGATTCGTAGCACCGCCACAACATGGCTATCCGCCACCGCCTCATCCAGGGTATGCTCCACCACCCACAGAACAGCATACTGGTAAGAAAAATCTTCACTTGATTTGATCCATTATTTCACATTACTTTTGGTTGCATAGTAATTATAACGCACACAACGACAACGGGTCTGGGACCCAGACCACATGGCATGAGGTGTCCATCTTGTCACGCAGATATTGTAACAACGGTAGAAACAGAACCCAATACCAAAACGCATTTAATTGCATTGTTGTTATGCATGTTTGTGTAAGTAGTGCAGTTGGCTAGGAGAAATATATTTCCCTCAATTGTTTCGTTTTAGTTGTTGGCCTTGTGTCTGCCTTCCGTATTGCATGGACACATGCCAAAGTCAGAAACACTACTGTCCAAACTGCCGGGCCTACTTGGGAAGTTATTCTGACTAACGGGTACAGAGAAGTGTTACATACCAAAATTTTGTATTTTATATTTTTGTTGTACTGAGTATGTTTATCCTTATCGCACCTTAGCCTTGCGATTACTATCCATTAAATATGGCTGTTGTAGGAGTAGTTTACAATATTAGCTGACTGATGAGTGGGTCATGTTGTTTTCCATTTTGGGTTACATTGTATTTTAAATGTATTGTATTTTTATTAAAATAAAAATCTATTAAATTATTTGTATTTTAATTGTTTTGATACTTAAACCTTTTGTTCTTTTGTAAATTTAGGTTACCATCGTAAACTTCACTTGAAAGGCATATTTACATGGTGGAGCAAAGTTCATAGCAAGTAATTTGTGTATTGCTGGTCGCATAGTGCGTCACACACATGGGGGGTCCAAAGCTTTTGATTTACAGTTCTTTGGATGATCGAAACTTTTGGCGCCATCTCTTGTTAAAGCGCAGCGCGACGACCCAAGTGTAGTTCGCGAGTAGTGCGATAGATTACGTAAGTATTCGGACTATTTGTTTCACGGCAAAGTGAAAATTTAATTCGTTTGGTAGGTTTCAACGCAATTCAATAAATTCTAATCGCACTTGCCACGCTTAACTGCTAGAGAAAATAGTACTTATTAATGCTGAATATGTCGAAGTGGTCAAAAAATTTGATATTGGAAATGGGAAAATAATTTAAGGCGGAAAATGTTTAAAAAAGCAAAACAAAAAAAGTAGCATATCGATATCTTTCTTCTTTTCCAAGTTGCAAAAAAGATATTTACACATTGTTCAGGCCTTCCCTAACCAACACGGCTGCTGACAGTTCGTCGATTCTATAGATCTCTTAAAATGTTAAGAAAGAACAAGAACCAAAGTGCAGGTTGGTTGGAAATTTAGAAGCATGCGCGAAAATTCCATAGCTGCCGTAGACTCATCAATGTTTCGGTCCTTACACCTCCTATGTTATCTGGTAAGTGTATGTAGATGTATATAATGAAATCCCATAATTTATCTTTGGAAACAAAAATAAGACTGTTGCGTTGTTATTTCTTCTCAGTCCTCTTGTTTGGGCTAGAAGGATGGACACTGACCAAACAAACTACTACTAGAAGATTGGATGCATTTGAACTATACAGAAGAATATTAAAAATTTTTTTAGATACAGAAAGTGACTCGCCAAACAGATCTACGAAGATTGACTAAACAACCGGAATTGATGGACCTGCAGTTTTGTACAAAGTAAATAGGATACTATTCTATTTTTTTAGTTTAATAAGTAAAATATTTTTTTTGTATTTTGTTGAATTGTGCTGGAAAATATAGACTTATTTATCACTAATCGTATTGAAAAATCCCCAAAGCAATTCTGGGAAAGATGTTATCAATTAATCGCGATAACGACGGTAATATCAAATATATAAACCGTAGGTAACTTTTGAAGAGAGGGAGTGGCATTGATTAGTGAGCTAGCGAATTGAAGTGCAAAACAAAGCTTTATTCTCCTAGGGGTTATTAAATTACGGTGAAAGAAATAAAAAAACAATTTTATTAACCATAAGTAAGTTTTACAAAACAATAATTAAAAAATTACTGAATATGTACGGTGTTGTATATAAAATAATCACACACAATAAAATAACGTCTTTAAGGTACAAATAAATCTAAACAACTTTTGTCTCAAGTTTATTTAAATATTTATGTATCTATTTATATTAGCGCCCATCGAGAATTCAAATTTTTCCAATTTCGCTTGAAATGTTTTTTTTTCAAACTGTATATTAACAGGTTTTTCAAATTTCACTACTAAATAAGTCATGGATTTCTAATTAGTCTATACATAATTATCAACTAATATTTTACTTCTTGAAATTCCTACCATATAGATTATTTTTAAGTTCTTTTTGTATAGTTTTGAGGTGTTGAAAAACTTTGTTGTCAGAAATACGAGACAAAGTAAACGATTTGTCACAAAATATTGTTCTCTCTTTTACTTGGCCTCTTGTAATGAAACACACGTATAGATCAAACATTTGTCGTGTTTTAAAAAATTTCGAAGTTTACACCCGAATCTCTTACGTCTCTAATACGTCAAAGTGAAAATGACAATTATTCCAGAAATAAACTTAGGACCTTTCTTTATTTTTTATTTTACTTATGGTCTCCTTTAGACGCAAAAGTCCGCCACAATACTGTAGCTACTTCTTGCAGTGACAGTTGGTTTGTTGATTTAAAGAAAATACATTTTCAGAGATGGAAACAAAAGGAAGACGCCCCCCATCTCCAGGTCAACAATCTGCTAGTTATCAGCCACCACCAGTGACCATTCAACCACAAAGTAAGACAGCCGTCAAATTCCTATTCGTAAAAACTTTCAGAACGGCTCCGAGTTTTGAAATTTTGGTTTGGGTCTTTGTACAATAGAGTAAAACTTTAGAACCATTCGAAAGTGGAAACGGTTTCCAAATTTCCAAAATAATGGAAACGGTAGCTAAGAACTTCGATCTTCAGTACTTTTTTTTGAAAATTTAACATCAAAATGGTAATTACAATAATAATAACTATAATAACATAATAATAATAATAATAGCAATGGTAATATATTTTTTAGAGCAGATTTGAGCTGTCTAATTGCATGTTTGTTGACTTTATGTTTATCTCAATTCGCTTTAAAATGGATAATCGATAACAGAAAATGCAGAATTTTCAAAAGTACCCGTACTTGAAAGACAGGTTGGCGTGTCTTTATTTATTTATTTTATATGTATTCAAATTTGAGAAGGAAATCGGGTGTTCTTCGTCTCCCCCAGAACTAGCCTAAACTTTCAAAAATTTGGGAGTTATCATATCGAAATAAATTAGAACTAAAAGTTCAAATTTTCACGAAATTATATATTATGACATGACAATTGTTTCGACAACACCGTGTCTTTTGATAAAGACACGGTGTTGTCGAAGCAATTGTCATGTCATAATATATAATTTCGTGAAAATCTGAACTTTTAGTTCTTATTTATTTTGATAAATGGATTTTCATCAAGTAAAAGCCACCTCAGTTTAAGTTATCATATCGACAATAATTGATTTACATGAATCATTGCCAGATTTTCTTAGTTTCGTTGAAAATTGTTTGATTTTCCTCAAAATTCAATTTTCATATAATGTTAAGGGTTGAATAACATTTTTCGGTAACTTCATAATTTTTTTGTTTTGGGTTAACCTTTTATTTTCGCGCTGTGTATACAACACCCCCACCATACCCAACCTTGGTTAAGCCGCGCGAAAAGACAGACTTGCGTGAGCGTCCGTAGTGCGAACCACGAAAAAACAAGCTCTCTTTTGTGACCGGTTCGCGAGAACCCCGCGCTGTGTTGTGGTCCTTACCACCCCCAACCCTCCAGAAAATACCCCTAAGAAGACCCGGCCGGGCAGACAACGACGCGGGAAACCATCAAGGTGGGTGATTAACCGTTTCGGGTGTTGTATGTCCTACCGTTTTCTTGCCGCTCTTTCTCGTTTAAATTTTGAGGGTGATTTACAACCACCTTCCCCCAACCCTTTACATATTGGTCCTTCGAGCCGGATCAGAATCAGTCTTTTGGATTTCACAAACTTTAGTAATTTAAATACATGTTCGCTATCGTGAACAGGTTAGCAAAAAACGTGTAAAGTTTGGAGCGCAAAAAAGCGGTTTCATAAAAAGTGTTTACCGTCGTTTCGAATTGCGGCCGTCTTTTTATTTGATTCGTTCTAAGCATATTTTCTGCGTGCTCAAATTCTTCTTCCTTTTAATTTACGTGGGTATTTTGTTTCGAGACTTAGGTGTGCATTTGTTTACAAAACGATTTACAATGTCGGAAATGGATAAATTTATTGCTAAGCGGGATTTAACACTTAGACGCTTTAACGATATATTGTCAGCGGGTCAGAAAGCTCGCGTTGAACCCGATGATGATGAAATTTTATGCAAATTCCAGTGCATGGTGGAGGATTTGCCGAGTTTAGTTAGCACTTTTGAGTCCTTGCAATTGGAAGTAGTCTCCTTAGCGAATGATTCGGAAAGAGATCGACAGTTTGCGGTTCAAGATCACTTTGATCAGTTGCATTATTCAATTCGATCTATTGCCAAGCGATTATTTGAGAAAGTGGAACTTAAGGCAGACTCTCCGGTACCATCTGTAGTTGGTCGAGAGTCGCAAAGAAATAGTAATCTCCGACTCCCCCGTATTATCATTCCGAAATTTGATGGCGAATTGAAAAATTGGCCTACATTTTTTGATATGTTTAACACGTTGATCCATAATAATTCTTCCCATTCAAACATTGAAAAATTTCAATTTTTAGTGTCTTATTTGGAAAAGGATGCTCTCAGTGTCGTGAAGAATTTGCCAATTGCCGACTATGAAGAGTGACTCGGTTGTTGAACTGAGGAGATTGCTTTCAACATTTTCAGAGAATCTTGCAGCTATCGATAAATTCGATATCGACTTGTGGGATTTTACAAAATTCAATTTGCTTTTAGAGAAACTCGACTCGACTCTCAAGACGAGGTTCGAACTCAAATTTTGTGATAAAGATATCCCAACTTTTCAAGATTTATGTGATTTTTTGGAACAGAATTGTAAAGCTTTAGAAAACTCTTTAGTTACCTCAAAAGGTATTACCCCTACCAAGAGGCTTGAGGTTTCGAAGCGAGTTTCAACCGATACACGTAGACCCACATCTATGATAGCGACGTCTACCCCTCCGAGTGCTGATGTGAGTTGCACCAGTAAGTGTTTATACTGCCCTATGGACTACCATCCTCTGACAAAGTGTGATTCCTTCCTATCTCTTGAGCCCCCTCAAAGGCATGTGTTCATCAAGCAACATCGTTTGTGCTTTAATTGCTTCGCGCGATCCCATGGTGTTGGAAGATGCCCCTCCAAGATTAATTGTCGTGTATGTGGCAAGCGCCACCATACTTTAGTGCATTTTGGAAATGCTACTACCCCTTCCCCGTCGAATGAAGCTCCCCCTGCTTCCGGCAATCAGGAAGGTATTATCCCTAGTCCGGTGACCATGATGACCAATCTCTCCTCTCAAAAGGTCGTGCTCTTTGCCACTTGCTTGGTGTCCGTTTCGGATAAATCTGGCAGACTTGTTACTTGTCGTGCACTGTTGGATTCAGCTAGTCAAGCCAGTTTTGTGACAGATTCCTTTGCGAAGAAATTGGAGCTTCCAAGGTCTCTCTCTCCGACACCAATTCAAGCCCTCAACCAAATGTCGACGTCTGCGTTAGGGAAGGTTGCCCTGAACGTGACCCCCTCCCAAAGAAAATCCCCTGCTCTCCATATAGAGGCTTTAGTTATTCCATCTATTTGTGATAAGGTACCCTAACCAGGTGATTGATAAGCAGAATCTAAAACATCTCAGGTCCCTACCCTTGGCTGATCCCCACTTCTGTGAACCCAACGAAATAGACGTGCTTTTAGGGGCAGAGGTTTACGGAGATATTTGTTTGCCTGGATTTAGAAAGGGACAGAACGGTGGCCCATGCGCTTTTCGGACCATCTTCGGATAGGTTGTCCTAGGAAAAGTGAATTTTTTAGAACCATCTTCTCCCTTTAGTTTTTATACCACTGTGAGTTCTGCTGTTGATGTTTCTTTGAAGAGATTTTGGGAACTTGAGTCCGTCCCTTCAAAGACCTTTATGTCTCCTGAAGACAAATTGTGTGAGGAGATCTTTCTCTCTACCCATTCCCGTGCCCCTTCAGGTAGATACGTCGTATCCTTACCCTTTAAGGATAAACACCCTTCACTTGGTGAATCTTACCCTCAAGCCCTTAGGCGATTCCAGTTGTTAGAGGCGCGTTTGGCCAAGAACCCAACTTTGCGATTAGCCTACAACGAGTTCTTGAGAGATTATTGGGAACAAGGTCACATGGCACTCGTTAGCGACCTGCCCCCCTCTCCCCAAGGTTACTACATTCCTCATCACGCCGTCTGGAAGCCACATAGCGAACCCCTTAAATTGCGTGTTGTGTTTGATGCTTCAGCCAAAACTTCCAACGGACGGTCTCTGAACGATCTTCTATTTACGGGTCCCAAGCTCCAACCCGACATTGGAGCCATTTTGCTCATCTTTCGACTGTACGGTGTGGTTTTCACCACCGATATTCGTCAGATGTATCGTCAAATCCTAGTGAGTGACGCCGACCACCTCTTTCAGCGGATTCTGTGGCGTTTTGATCCCCGCGAAGCAGTGCGAGAGTACGTCTTGTCAACGGTGGTCTATGGACTAAGTTGTAGCCCATACTTGGCTATTCGCGTGTTGCGTCAGCTTGCTAGGGACGAAGGAGCGCGTTACCCGTTAGCAGCCCGTCTCCTAGATTGCCAAACCTTCATCGACGACATTATCGGAGGAACAGACTCGTTGGAGGAAGCCCGTGAGTTGAGGGATGAATTAGTATCGCTGCTAAAATTGGGTGGTTTCGAGTTGCGCAAATGGGCGAGCAACTCCCCCGAGTTATTGAGTTCACTCCCCGCTTCACATCATCAACCCGTTTCCCTATGCGGAGACGACAATCCCAGTTTAAAGGTGTTGAGATTGCAGTGGTGTCCCTTACGGGATGTGTTCTCCTACCGCATCCAAGTAGCGGATAGGACGTGCACAAAAAGGAATATTTTGTCGCAAGTAGCCCAAATATACGATCCCCTAGGTTTTTTATCCCCGGTCGTGTTGACTGCCAAAATTCTCCTACAGAGGCTTTGGTCCCAGGGCGTCGATTGGGATGCACCTCCCCCCCGCGACATATTCGAAGATTGGAGTTCGTTTTCGTCTCAGCTGGACAGTCTTTCTGGGCTGACAATCCCTCGTCGGGTACTGCCTAGCAATGGCGTCCAGGTGGAGACGCACGGATTTTGTGACGCTTCGGAGTGCGGATACGGTGCAGCCGTGTATCTGCGAAGCGTCAGAGAGGGCCATATCTCTGTCACCCTTCTGTGTGCAAAGAATCGGGTAGCGCCTTTGAAGCGAGTGTCGATCCCCCGTCTGGAGTTGTGCTCAGCGTTGCTGCTCGCCCAACTCGTAGATTTCGTCCGATCCACTATAGCCTCTGAGTTGACTATCACGAGAGTATTCGCCTGGAGTGACTCCAAAATTGCGTTGTCTTGGATAAAGTCCTCTCCCCACAGATGGAAAACTTTTGTGGCCAATCGCGTGTCCCTCATTCAGGACATCATTTCCCCCAGTTCCTGGCATCACGTCGCCGGTTCATCCAACCCTGCTGACTGCGCATCCCGAGGGCTTTCCCCCGAGCAAATATTAATCCACCCCTCTTGGTTCTGTGGTCCCCCTTGGTTGCGTCTTCCGGTGGAAGAGTAGCCCACCTCCGACTTCACCCCCGGAGACGATCTGGAACTGGAACGTAAACCAGTGTTGACTTGTGTGTCCACCCCTTTAGTTGACTCGCTCGGAGAACTGTTAACCCGTTTCTCGTCGTTACGAAAAATTGAGAGGATCCTGGCTTATTGTTGTAGGTTTCTAAATAATTGTCGTACCCCCGTTCCCAAGCGAGCGCTTGATAATTTGTCTTTTGCGGACACGTACCACGCCCGCACGTTGCTCACAGGATACGTCCAACGTGAGGTGTTCTCCGGTTTGCTGAAGTGTCTTCGAAACGGTGAACTGTGCCCCAAACCTTTACGCTGCGTAGCGCCCTTTATCGACGAGCACGGTCTCATTCGAGTCGGTGGCAGACTCCGAGGTTCTGCGTTGTCTTTCGACGCAAAACATCCTCTTCTACTACCTCGAGACCATCGCTTTACCGAACTCGTGATCGAAAAGTTCCATAAGGAAAATTGCCACCCGGGCCCCCAATCGTTGTTGTACCAGATTTCACAACAATTCTGGATTTTGTCCGCCCGCAGAGCAATTCGTCACACCCTATCGCAGTGTTACCGATGCTTCCGTGTCCAACCTTCTTGTGTACAGCCATTCATGGCTGATTTACCCCCCGTTCGTGTATCGCAGGTCAAGCCATTCGCGCATACCGGTGTCGATTTCGCCGGTCCAATTTCCATTACCCTTGCGCGAAGGCGCGGCGCTAAGACTCAGAAGGCTTACATTTGCCTATTCGTTTGCATGGCTACCAAAGCCATCCATTTGGAATTGGCTTCTGAACTCAGCTCAGACGCATTCTTGGCCGCTTTTCGGCGCTTTGTCGCTCGCCGCGGGCGTTGTACTGACATGTATAGTGATCAGGGTAGAAATTTTGTCGGTGCTAACCGGTTGTTGGTACAGTATTGCCAGCAGTCCGCCGACCAGTGTGAGGTGCGCTGGCACTTTAACCCACCCTCCAGTCCTCACTTTGGAGGTCTTTGGGAGGCCGGCGTCAAGTCGGTAAAGACCCATTTGTTTCGTGTGATAGGCTCTCAAATCCTGACTTTCGAGGAAATGTCGACAGTGTTAACTCAGGTGGAATCCATACTGAATTCCCGCCCCTTATGTAGTTTGAGTTCCAACCCAAACGATTTGCATAGCCTTACTCCTGGGCATTTTCTGACCCTGGAGCCCCTATCTGCCCCTCCCGACGACCCTTTAGCTAATCTGAACACTAACAGACTCACTCGTTGGCAGCTCGTGCAGCAGTTGCATCAGCACTTCTGGGACAGATGGCATCGGGAATACCTCCACCAGCTGCAGCAACGGCACAAGTGGAACACCACGACTAACCCCCCAAAAGTTGGTCAATTGGTTTTAATTAAAGACGAGAACCTCCGTTAAAGTGGCTTCTGGGCCGCATCACGCGCTTGTACCCCAGTTCCGACAAGGAAATTCGCAAAGGCACTTTCGGTCGACCTTTGGTCAAATTATCTTTTGTCCCTAACTGTTAACCTGTTCAAGGGGCAACCGTGTATATAGTATAGGATAAGTTTATGGGAAAAATTTGGGAGGCCGGAATGTTAAGGGTTGAATAACATTTTTCGGTAACTTCATAATTTTTTTGTTTTGGGTTAACCTTTTATTTTCGCGCTGTGTATACAACACCCCCACCATACCCAACCTTGGTTAAGCCGCGCGAAAAGACAGACTTGCGTGAGCGTCCGCAGTGCGAACCACGAAAAAACAAGCTCTCTTTTGTGACCGGTTCGCGAGAACCCCGCGCTGTGTTGTGGTCCTTACCACCCCCAACCCTCCAGAAAATACCCCTAAGAAGACCCGGCCGGGCAGACGACGACGCAGGAAACCATCAAGGTGGGTGATTAACCGTTTCGGGTGTTGTATGTCCTACCGTTTTCTTGCCGCTCTTTCTCGTTTAAATTTTGAGGGTGATTTACAACCTCCTTCCCCCAACCCTTTACATATATTATTATTTTCATATAGTCTGCAAGTAACACTTACTGACGGGATACCGGGTGTTTTTAATAAATATTTGAACAATTTTCTAGCCGATATTTTCGAAATTTAACATTCATTCCAGTTTTAAGAAGAAATTTTGTTAAAATCAGTCGTTGAACAAAGAAAGATGCTTTCGCAGGTGCTGGTCCACAAGTAGCAGCTTTCGGTCCGAAACCGGCACAGACCAGATGTCCCTCATGTCACGCCGAGATTGTCACCAAAATTGTGAACAAGGCAAATACCAAAACCCACGCTATAGCACTCCTCATGTGCTGTTGTGTGTACGTATATATGACATTTACTTATATCTTTTCCTTTTTGTCGCAAAAAAATCGCTGTGGCGCGCTTTACTTTCTTATTTTGCAGATGTTGCCTGTGCGCCTGGCTGCCATACGTCTTGGACACGTGCCAAAGTCAGCAGCACTTTTGCCCAGAGTGCGGCACTTACTTGGGCACGCATTCCAATTGATCCCGATTGGAACTAAAGCCTCAATTAGGTTGCTACCTGTCCAGTATTACAAAATAAAGCGTTGTGCGATTTTTTCAGTTTCGTATATGTATGTTAACTAATGGGGTGGCGTAAGTGTTTCAACCCCGAATAAAACTCTTCCCAAAAACCAAAGCACTGTTCTATTTGACCACCTATTATAACATTGCCGGCTCTTCGGTCTATATCGTACTGCCGTTCGTTCTTGCGTAGCCGGAACAGCATGCCGCTCGTCCGTCCTGACTCAGCATACGTGACTTTTGGCGGCCATAGAAAAGATGTCGCTAACACGGGCATCCTGTTCTGAAAGTGTCGTCGCGCTATTTCTAAAATTTTAGAAACCAACAACAAAATGTTCGTAAATGCTACTATTTAAAGTTTAAATCATTACAAACAGACAACGGGATTGCTATTGAAACATGATGTATTTATTTTTTTTATTCGATAATGGGATTGCCATTATCTCTGTTTTGCACATTTTTGTTTAAAATAATGGGATTTCCATTATCCCTCTACTTAATAATGGGATTGCCATTATTAATTTTACTTTTTTTTTAATAATGGGATCGCCATTATTCTTCTACTTAATAATGGGATCGCCTTTATTAACTTCACTTTTTTTTTCAATAATGGGATTGCCATTATTCTTTTACTTAATAATGGGATTGCCATTATTACCCTTTTTTTAAATAATGGGATTGCCATTATTCTTCTACTTAATGATGGGATTGCCATTATTAACCTCTTTTTTTTTCAATAATGGGATTGCCATTATTAACCCTTTTTTTCATTAATGGTATTGCCATTATTCTTCTACTTAATAATGGGATTGCCATTATTAACCTCACTTAATAATGGGATTGTTATTATTAACCTCTTTTTTTTTAATAATGGGATTGCCATTATTCTTTTCACTTTTTTTTAACTTTAAATAAGGAATGAAAAAGTAAATAATCGTACGTTACCGACTTTTTGTGAATTCGAAGACGGCCATGTTGTTCATGAGCAGCTACAGTAGTCCACCGTCCTCGTTCTTGTAACGCATATCGGTCATTAGGTGGTACTGCACGTACAGTAAATGGTCCTCTGTGTTTCGGTTTCAATTTTCCTCCGCCGGCTAGCTGAGCAACTTCAACAGCCACAAGGCCCTAGAATCTCTGCAACGGTTTTGTCTCGATCAACAAAGTTATCACTCGGCAACGCGTCTAATAGAAATTGCTAAGTGGCCAGCAACCTCGGATTTCTACCATGATGTAACACCTTGGGCGTGTAACCTGTTACTGAATGGACTGTAGAATTTATATTATCTTCTATGGCAGGAACTACGACAGTCCATTTTTTTTCTTTCTCGGCAGTCAAAGTTGCCCGCATTAAATTAAACACAGTGCGCATGAGACGTTCGACTTGGGCATTCCCTCTCGAAACTCCAGTAGCAATGTTATGAAGTTCTACATTTCGCGCACTTAAAAAATTCCGGAACGTGATCGAAGTAAAAGCAGCTGCTCTGTCAGCAATTATCCTTTTCGGAGTTCCCAATTCATCAAAAACTGAGACTAATGCACAAATGGAATATTCCGACGTTTTCTTTGTAATTGGCATTAATCGGCAAACTAAAATTTGGGTACAGCTATTGGATCTTACTAATGAACCAGCATGGTGAATATGCCAAGTATGCAATATATCGTCTGGTTTTTGACCATGTTGCCAAAACCCTGATCTACGACCAGTGTGCGATTTTCCTAAGACACACGCTCTGCAATTTCTGATATACTTCTTTAAACATTGTCCCATTTTAGGCCAGAACAAATAAATCTTCTCGCATTTTTGTAATTCACTTTTCCCAGCCAATGTGCGACGATTCATCGTGATATGAACGCATTACTAGCAGACGCGCGCCACCAAGCACAAAACACTTCGAGGGATTTGTTTTTGTAACAACTACATTGTTCTTTATAGTATAATTGGAATCACTATCGGGGTTTTCCAACATTGAGCAGCAAAATGGATCATTGTTTTGGAATTCCTTTAAGAGCACTTTCATTTGCTGAAGGGGTACGGCTTAAATAGTCCAAGTGAGCCATTTTCTTTCTGGGTCTGTATTCAATCTTATAATCATAATCCTGCAATTTGACCCACCAACGTGCAACACGGGGATGTAAGTCTTTCTTAAGAGCAGTAGCGCACACTGCGTTACAGTCTGCATAAATTGTGAATTGTACACCGTAGAGATAAACTCTAACTAACTAATCCAATCGAACTAGCATCCGTATGCAGCTCACAAGGTAGATCCGGATTGTAAATTCGTATCACCGGTGAATCGGTCAGTTTATTTAATATTAACTGCCTTGCTTTTTCACACTCAGGAGACCAGTGAAATTCAAAATCTTTTCGTAACAAAGCCGTTATTGGCGCGGCTAATACTGAGAATCGTCCCATAAACTGCCTAACACTTTTGGCGTTTGTCGGAACAGGCGCTTGAATCAAGGCATTTATTTTACGCTGACTGGGTCGCACTGATCCGGCACTTAAAATAACACCAAGATATTCAGTCTCTCGGGCCAGAAACTTGCATTTTTCATAGTTCAAAGCAAACCCATTGGTAGATGGTGCATTAAGTACATATTCCAGGTTTTGCAGTCCCTCTTCAATACTTTTTGAAGGCACTAGTATATCATCAAGATAAACAAAGGCTTTCGTTCCCTTTAAATTACCCGATGCATTATCAATGGCTCGTTTATATATAGCTGGAGCATTGACATAGCCAAATGGCATACGGTTAAACTCATAATAACCATCCGGTGTGACAAATGCCGTGATATGTTTTGATCGTTCCTCAATTTGCATTTGATAGAAGCCGGATTTCATATCTAGTGTAGTGAAGTATTTGGCATGGCAGAGAGCATTGATCTGATCTTGAATATGCGGCAGCGGCTATCTTTCTCTGACGACTCTCTTGTGATACTAGCACTATCAGGCTTGCATATTCTGAGCGACTTTCACGAATTATACCGGCACTTAAAACGTCATTAACTATTGTCTTAACTTGAAGTCTTTCTTGATATGCTAACCTACGAGGTCGATACGCCACTGGATTAGTGTCCTTTAAGTTTATTGTCATAATCTTGTCGCTAGTTTTATTTTTGTAAAACAATAAAAGACTTGCTATTATTAATTTCAAATCCTGTTTTAAGTCAGGTTGATTAATCACAACTTTATCCACACTTTTTAAGTCATTACGTTCGAAATATTGAGCAGGTTATGGTGCAATTCGAGCCCAAAATTGTTTTTTTTTTCCGATTTGTAAACAAGGTCGACTGATGACATCCCATCCAATAATTAGGTCAGTGTTCCCTGGCGTAATAATATCTGGTACGATTGCACAAGTAATATTCAAACTCAACGTCGGCATAACAGTGATTAATTTACAAACACCAATAGCATAAACAATTTGGGTCCCAAATAAAATAAGATTGACAACTATAGTTTTAGTATTTAAGTGATTTATCTTGGCTCATCTAGTAAAAATTCAGTCATCCATACTGTTTGCTTTATCAATGCCAAAATTAAGCTAAAAATCGAAAAAAGTATTTAGAACATGGAGAAAAAGAATAATAATTAAAAAAATATCATTTTCTAATTAATTCAAAGGTAGAAATGTAAAAAAAACAGGTTTATTTTTTTTATAGTAGTTTTTTATGTAACATTATATTTCTTAAGAGCTTTTGATGTGTGATCAGTGATGTTTTGAATGTAAGGAAGGACAACCGTGCCAAGGTTATGGTGAAGTCACTAACGCAACGCTTGATATCTCTAATGTGGAAATTATTAGAGAGGAGAGCAAAATTTTAATTCTGGGTTCAGTGAATCGGATTGAGATAGTTTTACGCCTCTGTAAACAAGAGAGTTGATAACCGACAATATTCGTAAGACTCGGCGAAAACGACCTGGGAAAAAAAACCGATATGGAGGTTTTATCAAGTGGGTGTCGAGTTACATCGGGCGCGCTAAGGACCCAAGAGGAAAGATAGGGCAGTTGGCATTTAACACTCTCTGCAGACATTTCTTTTTCCGTTAGTCTAAAAACTCGATAGTTTTATATTTTGTATTTTACATTTTAATAAATCCCAAGTGTTCAAACGAGTATTCTACTTTAAAAACACCTTGATTACAATCATCAACGTAGCCTTTCTATAATTTTGGTTTCCTCTCAAAGATTCTATAAATACATTCGCGAGTTTTGAATTAAGTTATTTGGTGCAGCTTCTCGGATTTTAATATATCTGAAATTTTGTTTGAAAGTTTGAGGAATAAATACTTTAGTAAAGAAGGATTCTGCGTCGAAACTAACCAGAATATCGTATGTATTTAATGTAATGGTTTCTAATTGTTGAATGAAATGCAACGTATTGATTACGAAACCATCAGTTTTCACTGTGATGGGTTTTGATATAGAAACTCGATATTTTGCTGGGGAAAATGTTGGGAGAACCAATTGATTCTGAAAATAAGTAGAAGGGGTAATCCTAATTTGTGAATCTTAGGGAATCCGTGGAGACCAGAACTTTTAGTGTCATGAGGGGTGACGGACTTCGTCGCAGCTTCTGATAGAGAACATAGAGATAGTTACGGACTAAGTAATGCGTTCTCTTGTGTTCATAACCATCGCAGCATTTTCTGCTGCTTTTATAATTACGATGTCGGGATTAGATTTTAGAAATTTCAGAGCAATGAGTTCGGCCTTTAATTGCTTTTAAATTGTTTTCCCCTTTTGGGATAACACGTGGGGCAAAGACGATTTCTCCGTCTTAGAAAGTTGGTGCGATGATACATTTATAACTGTGTTTGCTCGTTGAGAAGTTTGATGGTTTCACTAGTATTGATGTTCGTTTTTTAAATTTTTGAATGTGATTCTTGTGATTGCTATGAATCGGTATCGAACTCGGATGGGGACAAGATGTAAGCATTTCAAAATGTAAAGACCCAGAGTCTTATTAATTTGGTCTTTGCGAGTATTATGAATTCTTTCTCAACTCTATATTTAAGACAGGAATAACGTTGTGGTCTCTACAGACTATCAAAAAGTCGGTGTTCAAAGTAATAACGTAATAAAAAATAGATTCACCTAATTT